TTATACATATTTCAGTAAAATTAATGCTGAGCAAAACATTTTGGTTTCAATTTCCAACACCAAATGGCAGCCATCTTGTTTTTCCCCCTACAAATTAAACCGGCGGGAAATTCAAACATTTGAAAAAAATTAAATCCTAAAATATATTTAAAAAATATGATTTTCTTTTTAATTCTTCATGGGTCATTAAGTTATTTCTACGTTATATGTCATACATGTTGCCATTGGTGTTTTTTCTATGATAATGACTAGACATTTTTTTCCGTTAAGGATACTTATTTTGACTCTCAGCAGGGGGTTAATTACATGTATGCATCAAAACTCATGAAAAAGTAAATATAACTTGGACAGTTATAAAAAACATATTTTACATACATTTAACTGAGGGACCAAAAGGGCATATATCCAGACTCATCCTTTGCATGAGGACATGTGCTAGACATTGTTAATTGTGACATTATATAAATCAAAAATTGTCTCATCAAGATATTCCTGGGCATATAAGATGCCAAGACATAAAAATTCATCAACTCAAGTGCAGTATTCTTCCCCTTTCAAATAGTTTGTTTTTGCTTCTAAAATAGATAAGGCTTCAACTTTCAGATTAGTGCAGTACAGGCCTCCTAGACTTCCAACAACGCGAACATCAGTTCTGATACCGCGAACTACGTTCCTTGCACTCGAACCACGAATCTCATATCGCGAACGTGAAATCTTATGTCACGCACCACCATTTCCTTGTTTCCGAACATATTTCTTATACCGCGCACAGAGATCCGTTACCGCGAACCAAGCATCTGATCGAAAAAAAGTCCGTAATTTTGTTCGTATTATTACGCATAAGTAAAATTCCAAGGAGGTGTTTTCATATGGAATTCGGAAGAAATATTTTCCCAGTTTTCATGCATGTGAATGAATATCCACTCATTGACGATAACAGTATTTTCAAGCCCTAGGAAACACAAAATATTGGGACTACCTTGACATTTTCAGTGAAAGGGCTGGGTAATAACAAAAACAAAAACCTGCACTTTTGAGTAACAACACGTATGGCCAAATTAGTGACAGCTTTTTCCAATTTTGTCCATTTGAGCCGATGATTGCATCATAATAAAGAAATGAGTTACCCTATGTACAATATTCCTGATTTTATAGAATACTTGATGTGCTATATCTGTAGCTCCAGCTACTGATAATTTGAAGATGCTACCCTTTGCCATGAAAACTTAACTTAAATGTTGCGCCCCCCCCCCCCCCATTACGGCTTGTGGGATTAACTGTTTACATACAGGAAAATAACAATCTATCATCCTGATAAAGATCATAACACTTGGTTTTTGTTTCAAAACATATCAAATGACTACTAAATCGTAATTTTAGGGTAAGGGCTAAGAATACTTTATCTGTCTAATCTTTGACCGTCTGAGATAAATGTGTGTTGACGAGTCATGTAGTAAATTAATCTTGGTTTTAAAGCTGAAGCTTTAATTGTGGGCTGTTCTGCCCCACCCATGGGCCATTTTGCCCTACTCTCAACATTATTTTCGAACACTCTGAAAAATCACAGAAAATGTGAAATATAATCCCTTCATAAGATGGAACATGAAAGTTCGCGATGATTGACAGATTAGAAAAACCTCTGCACGGATCTAATTATTATGAGGGCCGTTTTGCCCCATGTTCCCCAAAAATTCCTTACTTCAGCAACCAGGACGATATCTGACCCAAGACATGTGGAGCGCTAAAATGTCGGACCCTTTTTTCTGGGCCCATCTCAGAGGGAGGGGCAGGCCAGTGCATCTACACAGAATATAACTGATGAATACAATGTAGGTGTACTGTATAAAAGTAAACCTTGTTGTTTAAGGTCGCATGATGCAGTGTGACCAGGATCACACTGACCATGGTCAGAATGACCCTACTAGACATGATGAAATACCTTTTTCAGCCCTCTGAAAAGGTCAATGTAAATAGCTTTAAGTAGGAGCATAGGAAAGGTCAATGCACAGGATCTTTTGAATTTTTCAGAAAATGTGCCCAATATATTGCTCTAAATGATACAATCTTTAAAATTTCAGAAACTTGTCTGAAAAAATGGCGGTCATACTAAAAAGGAAAAAATATCGCTTTTCAATTCAGTTTTTTCATTTTTTTCTTTTTCAACGAATGATATCAAATTTCCCAAGATTGTATCACTGAGAGCAATATATTAGGCACATTTTCTGAAAAATGCAAGAGATTCTGTTCAGTGACCTTTCCTAAGCTCTATTTTTATCTATTTTTCAGTCACAAATTTCAGAGGGCTGAAGAATTAATTTCATCATGTCTAGGGTCAATCTGACCATGGTCATTGTGATCATGGTCATGTAAATGGTATGTGGAACTAGTTAAACTGACTGGAGGTCAAAGCAAAACTCTGATATCTTGGTTCAAAAAACGTTTGAAATCCAGCATGGTTTTGTCACTTCCTGTTTTGTCATTTCCTGTTAACTACCATGGCACCTAAACCAGTGTAAGAAAAAAAATTAACTATACAAAAACGGTAGATCTACCTGAAATCAGCTGAGTCTCTCTGCCATCCACATGAGTCACAAAAATGGATGTCGGGAACATGATCATCGGTGCAAGCGTGTGATATACATATCATTTAAAGCCCTGCCAACTCGGGGCGTGGATGTTAATATTGCGCATGCTTTTCAAAGGAACGAAAGTCTGGCGAAAGCGGAGGAGAAACTGAATTTCGTTTCCTTGTTTCACTTCGTTGCATATTGGTATATACATGTAACTTGGAATCCCAAGCACCCGGATGTATTATGTACAAATTGTTCGCGGTAACGGATCTCTGTGCGAGGTACAAGAAATATGTTCGGAAACAAAGAAATGGTGGTGCGCGACATAAGATTTCACGTTCGCGATATGAGATTCGTGGTTCGAGTGCAAGGAACGTAGTTCGCGGTATCAGAACTGATGTTCGCGTTGTTGGAAGTCTAGGAGGCCTGCAGTATATAAACCAATCAGCTCTATTCAGGGGCAATCTAATGGCACTCATTATATTTCTTCAGTTGAGGGCATGTAATAGCAGATCCCTGTAATTACCATCCTTGGTCAAAGGGTATTTCACTTATTTCCATGAATTTAAGCATAAATGAAGTCCTTTGAAAAATGATGAGTAATTACACTCCAACATACTTTGTATATCATTCATGCCACCTTTTGGAATATACACAAATCCTTGTATCACCCACCCATTCAATGTCATAGTATATGTACTTTATGAAATAAACAAATTGAATTGAAAACTCATGGGAAAAGCCTTGCCTGCAGGCATTGACAGATTTTGGGTTATAGGCAATACACCTTGGAAAAATAATAATAAAAAATGAGGTATTACCTTCCAGTCTCAGAGAATGAAATATCTTGTAATTATCCAGGGTTCTTCCTCTCATCAATGAAGATATATGATGATTATTCAGCCACGAGAAGTATCAATGACCTTACACTTGTTAGCCATTTTATTAGGATGCACTTATACTGCTGGCTGGCGATCAATATTCAATGTTGCACTATTGTAAAGGATGAGATGAGCAACAACTAGGCACATGTATGACCGGCTGATAAAAATAAATATTGAAAGGCATTGATTTTAGAATGACCAGAATTTCAACTCTATTAAATATATATGGTGGACTAAAAGATAGAAAATATTCTAGATTCTGAAACATTGTTTGAAAAAGAAATGTTGATATTTGATGATAAAAATTGGGTTAACTCATTTTATAAAATATATTCTAGTTGATCTGGGACTACTTAGAGGCTTTTTCTCAATAACAGACTTCATATTTTCGGAAGGTGCCTGTTTGGAAAAATAGGCCTTAATATTTGAAAAATGTTTCAAGAGATCCATTTCTATTGATTAATAACCAGCATTTCTGGGTGAAAAAAAACTGCCATTGTTTTTCTTCCATTGTTGTTTAACTGGAATACGGAAATGATAGATAGTATTCCACAAAAATATTCTAAAATACCAAAATGAACCAAAATAAGCATTTGATATCAGAAAATGTGTAGGAGGGAGTGAAACAGTGTGTATTGTGGCTTTGTAAATTGCCACTTCAAGGCAGGATATAATTTCCAATAGCCATCAATTCTAGAGCATTAGTTCTAAGTTATATCACCTTACACAATCATATGGTGCCATACAACATTAGGCAACATTAAATAGACTCCTGAGACTAATAAATGGACATTAACTTCAATGTCCTCTATTGATATTCTATACTGATGTCACTGTACTTGGTTACATTGTATCAATCATATCTTTCAAGGATGAGATTTCTAGTAAGGCCAAAAAAGAATTGTTTCTGATCACAAATATTTTGAAATTAAAACCTACACAGATGATGTTTTTTGTTTTAATTCATTTGAAATTAGGCAAAATGTGCTTTAAATATAAATTTTAGTGTGTACCTATTGGGCTAAATTGGGCTTTAAATATAAAGTTTTTTTATTTCAAATAAACCAACTACAAAACAGCAACTCCAAGGAGTAGCAAATCCCACCTAACAAAACATGTTTTGATAAATAGCAGCCATCTTGAAAATTTCTTCTTTAACAGAGCATTGCCCCTAGGCATCAGCATATAAAATTTGAACCAACTCCGTCAACTGGTATTTGAGTTATCAATGTTTACATTCTTTTATAATAATATGGCGCCCATTTTGAAATTCGGCTGCCATCTTGAAAATTCTTTCTCAAGCAGACATATAAAATCAGCATATAAAATTTGAACCGAATATGTCCTCTAGCAGAGGTCCTACGACCTACATCCATAAGGTATAAGCCTATAAAATTTGTATTATATTCATCAACCAGTATTTGAGTTATCGCCCAGAAACACGGACGAACAGACAAACGGACTGATGACCAGATGGTTTCTCTATATCCCCCTCGAACTTCATTTAGTGGGATAATAATTTCGACAATTATACTTCAACTCTTACCTTTGATGTGTCAAGGGTTTCACTTTTAGGACTAGAAGCACTATCCATTTTTCTACAGGTTTCTTTGGCAACTAATTTTCCACACCTCTCATGAAAGCATCGTCCACATCCTGGAGTAAAACAAAACAAACCATGAAGCATTTCTGGAGAACAAACAAGACAACAGCAATATAGCACTTTTTCAAAGTGCAATAAAAAATGGAAATGTAATCAGTGTTTCTTCAATATCATAAATCTGTAGGATTATTTGACGTTCTTTGTGAGTTACTTTCAAAGATACATTTTGGCAATTTATTCCTGCATTTTTTATTTTTTTATTTCAATTTGTAAACTCAGGATTTCTACAAAATTATCATCACAGTCAACACAGAGCAGATCTAAAAAGAATAAGTCACCCTGTTGAGAAAAATAATATTACTTTATGGTTCACTGAATTTTTAAAATGCTTAGCTTTACCTTGGCACTTCATTCCCACTTTTCCAGTTCCCCAAATGTAGTCGTTGCCTGGAAATACACAGGAAAGAATTGAAGTGAATATATCAAGTAGAACACCTCTGTAAGTAGAACACTTTTTAACATGTATCACTCCCCCCAGGTTTCTGCAAGTTAAAATGCTAAATTCTGCAAGTGAAATTAGTGAATTCTGCAAGGGGAAGAGGATAATTCTGCAGAAATTCCATGGAAAATATTAGAGGTGTCACGGATATCCGATCTGCGGAATTATGCCCTCGGAACAGAACACGGAACAAAAATTAAAAATTTCGGTTCGGTTCCGGAACAAGAACATTTTACCCTTTCACAACTTCTGGCCCTTGAATCTCCACAGAACAGCATTTTTCTTTTAATATTTTGTACCAAAAGAGGTTCGTTCTTTTTACTCCTTCTCTTTGAATAGTTTTGAAGAGCTTTTCGCTACCAAATAGACCTAGATGATCAAATTACTTTAATACACACAGTCACTCTGTTCCAACCATTCCGAAATTGTTTCATTCCGAAGCAAAATGTTCCGTACCGAACCATTCTGATTTTTTTTGTTCCGTGACATCTCTAGAAAATATTGTGATAGATATAATACAAATAGGAAAATTTCGTGATAGTTCGAAGTCAGTCACTACGTCACTACTCAATACATGCTGCCATCTAGCGACAGAAATCAAAAGATGAAGTTTAAAATTTTCACTTCGCATTTTTGGGTTATTTCTACAAGGGATTTGACTGAAACCATGTCAAATTGTTACAGGCAACACCATTTAAACTTTTGAAAAATATATCGATTCCGCTGAGAATTTTACGGAGATTGAACAAAATAGTTGATTCTGCAATTCCGCGGGCAAAGGCAAATTCTGTCTGTGCTCTTCAAACACAGAATTCTGGGGGCAGTAATGTAAATGTTGAATAAAACATCAGCAAGTGGGAATCTTCTAATGCCTCAGTCACACTTGCGATGGCAAAGTAATCGCTCGTGAACTGTATGGCAATTGTGTTGCAAGTCTGGTGACTATAGCTTGTAAACAAGCCATGACAAAATGTCACCACCTAATTGGAGCAAGACGAAAAAATACCTTTTTGACCTTGAAGGTCATTAAAGGTTAAATCTATTTTGACCCTGAGAATGTCATTGAAGGTCAGATCTAGAGTCAGACTTATACTGTTGAGAGCTTGTAGATGATTTGGAAAAAAAATATTGGTCAGTTTGAAGCAAGTTGAAAAAAGGCCTTTTTGACCTTAAGAAGGTCTTTGAAGGTCAAAGCTCAAATCTTGAGTCAGATTTGAACTTCCGATAACTTATAGATGATTTTGAAAAGAAATTGGTCAATTTGAAGCAAGTTGATACTTTTTTACCTTTTTTGAAGGGTTATTGAAGGTCAAATCTTAAATATAAAGTCAAATTTGAACTTCTGAAAACATGTCGATGATTTTGAAAAACAATTGAAGTCAGTTTATACAATATTTGTTAAATTATTTGAAGTTGTAAGAATTTGTTACAGACGCCGACCGCCAACCACCGTCAAAAAAAATAGAGACCACAACAATATGTCACCACTTTTTGGTGGTGACATAAAAACTGGGACATGCCATACAGAGACTGTAAGGCAAACATAACTTACAGGTTTTATTACTGAATATGATACAGTTTGATCTCTCAATAAACTAGATGCGAGTAGAAATGATCTTGATTTACATCATTAAATATTCAAAATTCAGTCAAAGTGATGTCATATTTGAAATCTACATGTAAAAATACTATAATATGGTTTCGAAAATTGTTTATCAACTTTAAAAATTTAATATTTTTTGAAAATGTGACTTCTTGTTCGGGTTGATTCCCCATAGACCCCATATTACAAAATCACAAAAAGTGAAATATCTTTTCTTGTATTGGACATATAACATTTTCTTTTACTGGACATACTTTAATTTGCATAACTATTCCATACATTAGGGCTATATGAAAATTGAACCACCAAAACAGATGTAATTTAAGTTAAAGGGAACTTTCTACTATACCCGCCATGCTATCTGACCCGAGCAAGCCACCTGGTGGTGAAACTGGTAACTACCTACTCGCATTTGCGTTATTTAACCTTCCCTCTTATGACATTACAATTCATACAGTATACATACTTTCATTGGCATACATATGTTTATTTAGGATTGTGAATTATACTGTAATGCATGCAGGAAATCACTTGTAAAATGTTGCCACCACTTGCTTAAACTCTACTTTTTAAATCAGTCATAATTTCTTGATGTAACAGAATATGTAGAAAAACATCAGTATTTTCTGTTTTCAACTAACTTTTATTTCACATTTAAGACCATGAAAAATATATTTGAGATAGTGAAAAATACAATAAAATCTAAATATGTTTTGTTATTGCTTTCTTGTATAATATGCTTCTACCTATGTTTTGGTGATAAAAATAAATTTTAACATGTTATAACCTAGCTAAACTCAGGTATAACAATAGCTTGAGACAATTGAGTCATTAACCTGAAATGCATATTTTCTTCCTCCTGGATTCTATACTAAAATCTCTCTAATATAAATATCTTCAAACTAACACAAGTTACAAAGTCCCTAGAGGGTTAATTTAAAGCATGCTTTTTGGTATATGATGTTTTCAAACCTACATGTAAAAGTTCATCTTTATTTTATGATCAGCATTGAACTTGAATTTTAAAGTTCATTACTCTTTGTAAACAGCAGCTGGTGCTCCGTATTGAAGGCCAATCTATTATTTATGGTATTTTAAGCTTAAATTGAAATTAGTATTTATTCAGTTGCTGGGTATTACAATTCAACACACGTAGCAATAGTCTTGCTTCAAAAGGTACTGTTTTCTCAGAAAATATGTTTATCCTGTTGTAAGATTTGCTAACTTAAATGCTGCTAACTTATATGCATTTTATGTTAAGTCACAAATGGGAGAATAATTAAATCTAAAAAGGTGACTGACCTGGAGTTCCAGGCACTTAATTACCATGGCAACATTTTTTCATGGATAGACTATAAAAAGCAGCATTTTGTATTATATTGCATGTTAATCATGATCTTTGTTTAAATTATTGATGCAGAATTTTAAGTTCATTGACTTCAGAAGTGAATATCCTGACACAATATATATAGGTTATTTACCGAGTGTCAATATCATATTTTCCAAGGTCAATATCATATTTTCCGAGGAATGAAACCCATATTCAATCCCGACCAGAAATAACCTATTTATTCCATAATACATTCCTCTAAAATGTTACATTTTGAAAAAGCTTTTATCAATTAGCTAAGGTTAAAAATAACAGGAAAACCAAAAATAGGTTAGTACGTTCCAATACGATTTTTTTCCCGGGGACAATACGATTTTTTTCATGTGATACGCTCCAATACGATTTTTTTCCCGGGGACAATACGATTTTTTCATGTAATACGATTCAATACGATTTTTATTCCTTCATATTTCCCTGGGAAAACAGTAATATTATGGAATAAATTAGAAATATCTACCTGGATTTAAAGGGACATCCATTCATTAAATATCCATGATTTAAGGGGTATGACTGTTGCAAATGTCTGAATGAATGAAGATGGTGTAAACAGGGTTTAATATATCAAACATTACATTTTTTTGATGAAAAGGCTGGCTATTGTGAATTAACACACTTGAAATTTGTTCTTGAGCAGAGGTCCTCATGATATTAGCCCATAAAATTTGCATCAAATCCTATAACTTCTGGTATTTAAGTTATTTAAAATTGCATTTTTCATGAAAATAGCAGCCATTTTGAATTGAGCATCTTTCTCGAGCAGTCATATTTATGATTCAATGCCAAAGTAATTAATCTGAGTTAGAGGTTAGTGCCCTTGAACACAAGGTAACCTGACTGGTTCAGATGTTTAATATGAATAAATTACTGAGGTAGAAATATTGTTGTACTCTTAGATGTTAGGCAATTCCAATGTCATTATACTCATCAACCTATTAATAGAAAGAGTACGGCCAACAACCTTTCCTAAAAAGGATGAATTATGGGGAAATCATTTGAAGAAATTAAGATAACAGATTTTATTGCTAATATATTACCTTTTACAACATTTTCATACACAATTATGTATCCAGTAATCCTTTTTCCTTGATGTCCATAAAACGGACTACCTGAATACATATTGACTTAATCACAAATTAGAGATGAGATTTGATAATTTTAGCTTATGTCATTCCTACGTATCTTAACATGAAACCATAGAAACATAACTAAACAAAATGTGAGAGTTGAAAAGTCTCTGACAACTGATATCTGTAAAGAGCATCATTCTTGGCAAAGAGCAACTGTTGGAAAATATAACTGCCATCTATTAAAGAATGTTAAAACAAGATATAACAATAAGGCATTAACATGACAAAATGTCACCACCTAGTTGCTCACAATATTAAGTAAGATTAGAATTTCTGGGAACTTGTAGATGATTTTGAAAAAATAAATTGGAAAATTTGCAGCAAGTTGAAAAAAAAACTTTTTGACCTTGAGAAGGTCATTGAATGTGAAATCTCAAATCTAAAGTCAGATTTGAACTTCTAGGAACCTGTAGATGATTTTGAGAACAAAATTGATCAATTTGAAGCAAGACCTTTATAACATTGAGGTCATTGAAGGTCAAATCTTTTTTGACCTTGAGAATGTCATTAAAGATCAAATCTATAGCCAGATTTGAAATTTTGAGAACATGTAGAAGATTTTGAAAAAAGAAATTGGTCAATTTGAAGCAAATTGAAAAAATACCTTTTTGACCTTTTTTGACCTTGAGAAGGTTGTTGGGAGGTCAAATCTCAAATCTAAAGTCAGATTTGAACTAATGATAACTTCTAGATGATTTAAAAAAAAAATTGGTCAATTTGAAGCAAGTTGAAAAAAGACCATTCTTTTGACCTTTTTAACCTTTTTTGACCTTGAAAAGGTCATTGAAGGTCAAATCTTAAATATAAAAGTCAGATTTGAACTTTTGAAAACTTGTAGATGATTTTGAAAAAAATTGAAGTCAGTCTAAACAGTATTTCTTAAGTTATTGGAAGTTGTAAGAATTTGTTGTTCTTTCTTGCTTTAGTATTACAATAGAATTCTTTCTTGCTTTAGTATTATTGCATCAAAGATTTGTATCAAAGCCTTTAAAGGCTATTGATCATTCAATTCATAGGCTGTTATAATTTATTTGCTTAATATATATATTAGATCAGATTTAGAAATTGCACCCTTTTAAAGTAGAAATCATTCGAGGATTTCAATACTAAAATAATAAATAAACATGTATAAAATCTCTAAAAATGTTATTGGTTATAAAACTTGTCCTTGAAGTATGATCAAAATGCCAAGGAATATTATCACCACTATCATCATCATCATCATAATCATCAAAATAACCATCATCAACATGATTAATCATCCTTAGAGCAGAATTATTACTGTCAAGACTAAATCAGGATAATAACTTTACATACAGCAATATTAAGACATTGCTTCTAAATGAAATACAAGTTGTAAAATTATATAATGATTTAGTCTCTCAAAAGACGGAAGTATCAGAATTATTTGTAATTTCTTGTATTTTCAAAAAATAAATTGTGAGTACAAGTCTGTTTCGTTTCCTTCTTTTAGTAATAATGAATAGCTCCCTGATTCTGAATTATGTAACATAAAGTACAATTTGATAAAGCACTCGATTAAAGCACTCCATTAATATTGTATATTCAAAGCAAACTGTACCTGACTTATGTTCATCTTGCTTGATCTCTGAATGTAAATGTACAACAGGATTTCCACCCAGTTGCAATTCTCCAGATATATTCTGCATAATGTAATGCTGAACTCCTGACATGCCAAATCATTGATGCCAATTTCTTATAAGAATCACTTTGATAAGCTGTAAAGGCAGCCAACCTTGATGAAAGGCAAATATCCAAAATACCTTTAACTCAATCAATTAGAGGAACTTAAGGGGCTCCTCTATATGCACATGTTTTAACTCACCAGGGTAAAGTCTGGTCAGTATTTGGCAGTAGCCTAAGTAAAGATGAAAGGTCTACATGGTCCAGGTTAAAATACTCTTTGTCAGAAATTGATTTCACCTGCACATTCTCAATAAGAATCTATCACCAAATCAGACTATGAAGTAAAAATTCATCACATCATAATTCCTTATTCCTTAATTCATACTCAAACTCCCATAAAATACCTTTGAAGCTACGTTTGAGATTTTAAAGATCTTATATGGATCAAAACTGTAAAATCATCAGAAATAGTCAGAGTGTGGCATAGTTGGTGGATGGGAATTCAGGGTAAGCTAAATGGCCCAGGTTATCCTGATGTGACTCTCCCAGATCATTGAAGCCTTTATCCCAAGTTCTTACATTATCTAGCTGATATGCCAATTGCCATTAAATATACTTTGGTAAAGGGGCCAGGCCAAAATATACAAAATTGTCGAAACAGCTTTGCTAAAATTAGTGATTTTTTATTTTTATCTTTCTTACTCCTGTGTCTGTTTTTTCTTAATGGTAAAGAAGTGAGATAAATAAAACTGACCAATTCTTAAATGTGGAGCTGTCATTTTGGTTTATGTCAAATAGGACCAATACAAGGCCTACCAGACCATTATAGACATTACATATATCCCAGGAACAACATCTTATTTCATTTACACTCTTCCATTAAAAATGGATGGGTTTCCATAGGTTTTAGTATTAATGGTAAAAACATATACACATTTAAGTGGCATTGATATGCCCCCCATACGAACTTGAATCTTTTTACTTTTAAGGTGAGCATTACCCCCCCTCCCCTCTACTTCCAAATTAGCAAAATTACATTCCCAAAATAAATTACATTTTTATATAAATCAAAAGTTATATTGTTATAATACATATTATAAATCATCATAAAATATATACATTTGGGGATTGATGGGATTGTTTTCCTCCTCTTCTCATCCCAATGCATTAGCTTAGGGTTGCAACAAAAAGGTATCAATGAATAAAATCAAAATGAAGTGCATTGGATTTCATCATCTATAATGTCACCCGTCCTTTGCTTTACATCCCTTCAAGTGCTAATGTGGTTCAGTCAGATCTAATAAAGATCGAAACAATTGCTCCCTTATTAAGACACATATCATTCATTGAAAGCCAGCAATAAATAAAGGCCACATAGAAGTATTATTGAATGTAATGTTCAATCCAATAAAACTGACCATGGATGATTAATTATTCTTCTGCATAAGGTTAAGCAGAGTTCACTGAAACCTTGGACTCTACATACCAGTACTTTAATAAATAAGTGAAAAGCATTTCTTTTAATTTCCTTTCAGCTATATCTGCTCTATCAATAGCCTTGTTAGTCATTGAATGTGTGGCAGCACTTACCAGCTATATTAACACTACTGACAACCCTGAGCTCTCCAATAAGATTACTATCCTCTCACAAAGGGTCATCATTTTACAGTTTGCTAAATGAACCTATTAGATAGCACTGCAGACTCATCCTACGTTTACATCCATCAAATCTCATCTTTAAAATAGCATGATCTGACTGGCTGAATGAGTTCAAAGGTTTATCAGTAATATGCAGAGTGAGATAAAGTTGAATAAAGGGTAGCTGCTGACCAGACAATAGAGTACATTCGTCTCAAACGTGCTCCAGAATTATGATTCTCTAGACGCCTTACATCATCCATTGTTGAAGGGTTGATAAACAGATATATTTGAGATATAGATAAATCAGGTGTTTCTTTTTTTAATTATCTAGAATCATTACATCTTTTCTAAATATGATCTATATTATTCTTTGTCTGGTGCTCTAACAAAATACGATGTACACATGTATATGGTAAAAAGATAACTTCCATATAGAGTTGACAAAGTAGGAGGGAAATTAGCGCAACAGATTTCGGACAGTTAGATTTTGGCTATTCTCTGAGGATTTAAACAGGTGCATATGTTAGATCAATGCATTACCTCCAGGGAAAGCACTTCTAAAGATAAAATAATTTCGACCTTGAGACAGGGTAGATGCAAACAACCCACCAACATGTTTTTTCCTGAAGTGTTTTCCTGATTTTCAACCCCTTCCACTCCGGTTTTTACATTTTTTCTTGCATAAATATATTGCGTTTTGAAAAACAATTAACCCCTTTAAAGGAATAAGTGATTCCTTTTAGATAAAGTGGAAAACAACATTTCCCATGTTATTTTCCCATAGGGAAAACTCACGCGATCCATTGCTTTCAGCTAATTTTGGTCACCCATAATGGATATCTTTAAAACCCCTGTAGGAATTACCTATTCCTTAAAAGTGGTTAACTGTGTGTCAAAACACAACATAATGATGCAACAAAAATTAAAAAGCAGGGGTGGAAGGGGTTGAAAATCAGAACAACATTTCAGAAAAAACATGTGGGTGGATTGTTTGCACCTCCCCGGTCTCAGAGTCGAAAATATTTTATCATCTCTATGAGTGCTTTTCCTGGAGGTAATGCATTGATCTAAAATATGCACCCGTTTAAATCCTCAGAGAATAGCCAAAATCTAACATATGACTATCCGAAATCTGTTGCACTAATTTCCCTCCGCCTTTCTTAAGTATATATTTGAATTGAACAACATGCTATAGGTGCATTTTATAGTCTTAACTATATTTCTAAACATAGAAGGCAATATTTTTCAATGTAAAAAACATATGTTCTGTTTTGATTTTCAAAATTGTAGCCACAAAAGATTAAATCAGCCATTCCAAAAGTATAATGTTATTATATAAATGCTATTAACATGACAAAATCATGAAATAATCCACCTTTACTGCTTACAGAATCCTAATGATAATAAAAGTCATACAATCATCCAAAACCCACCTTTTGACCACAGAAATCCAAAATGCTTATATCTGGAATATACCAGTTTCAATTGCTTGATAATACATTTATGTAAGAGAGCCTTATCTACAGTGTAATTATCTGTAGCCTTTGAACCCCAGGGTATCAAGATTCAAATCAAGTCAACCTATGAAATCAAAAATTTAAATCATATATACAAAAATTAAAAGAATGAGGTGTTCATGCCGCAGTCTCAGGCAGACCTTTAAGCCCCACTATCCAATCTTTGGGGAAAATTGTATTTTCTATTATTTTGGAATAAAAAAAAGATTCAAATCATGAAAGTAATTTTTAAAATATACTTACAATGTGAGCAGAGTATAGGTTTCAGGAAGAAAGCATCTACAAGTCTGTGAACTCTTGGCGGAACTGCAAGTAAATAGTAAATAACCATAGCAACCTTAAATAAAACACAATTATACACGATAAACAAAATATAAAAAGTCACCACCCAGTTATAAAGGTGTAACAATTGTTATGAATCCCAATACTGATCCTTGATAGTTCAAGGTGATGACATAGAAATTACAAGGCATTAACATGCAAAATGTCGCCACATGCCATTTGTTACAGATGCCAAACACGAAACGCTAACTGCCGTATGCCAACTGCCATCCACAAAAAAGTTTGAGATTATAACAATATGTCACCAGTTCTGGCTAGTGGTGACATAAAAATGACCGAAAACCCTGTTGGTTCCAATGTGTGTTAAGAAATCCTTCAGAGTAATCTTTAATTTCTGATAATTCATTTTTCTGTACAAATTATTTTAAAATATCAAATAACATGTGCTTCTTCGTAAAATTTTTTTAAAATTAATTTGTATGACTTTTGTTTCTAAAGTTGATTGACAGTCTATTTCTAACATCTTTGTGTTGAACGCACTGACGTATGTTACTAATAACTCATTATCTCTTATATTCTCATGTTTAACTTTATTAGTTTCATACCTGCTAATGATCATTGTTATTTCTAGACTTTATGTCCAATACTATTACTGCATGTGTTTCAATAATGCGTGCTTCGAAAAATGAGCTTGATAATATTCTAGAAAGTGGTCTGTAATGTCAGCCACATATGCCAGTTTCGGAGTGCAGATCAATTCTTCTCTATTTGAGAATTCTAGAGATTGTGCTGTATGTTAATGAGTTCACCTTAAATGACATAATCGGTAAGTCATTATGAATCAATGGTGAAAAAAGCGATTTGATTCTAACGAGTACCTTTTATGTCTAATAACATTGATTACATTGCTCTTGGGGCCATGTCATATTATTATACTTTGGCAGAACATGGTTTTGGAACACTAGATGGACAAATGTCCTGATTACAGTAAAACTTGTATGTGGGAAGACTTTTTTAGAGGATATACCATGGAATAGGGAAAATGTGATTACCATGTATTTATTAATCTTATATTATAGGCTGTCTTGAAGTTTCACAAATGTATTAGTAAACACTTGAAAATAATACATGTGTCAGCTGAATCTGATACTTGGACATTAATATCTCTCTCATCAATCAGCTTTTTTCTCAATATCCGCAGCAAACATATTTCTTGATTTAGGTTATTCTAGCGATCATGCAGTTACGAAGCTGAAGAGTTATTTTCCATCAATTTCCAATCATAATCAAACAAATCAAATGAACAGTCGAGGCCAATGACAGTTGGCGCCCAACAGTTTCATTTAAGCATCTGACCAATAAAAAACACCTCTCAAAAAATCAAGATGATTTGGTCCCAGTTGTGTCAACTTCGATTTGATTGATTCATATATATCTTAAACAATGCCATGTATTATATACCATTTTAAAGATAAATCATTTCTTTACAATATGACACCATTTGATTGAAAAGCTTTTCTTTTACTGTGGAGTGTTAAGGTGTGTTAAGCCACGATGATACCATGGTGAGGATGCTTTGAGAATCCGCGTTGTTTGAACCTACCGCCGAGCTCACTTATACATCAAGACCCGTTACACAGTCATAATACTGCCAAGCAAGCTCATTGTATCATCGGGTCTGCTTTACCCCCGTGAATAATATGTTAATATTAACATGTATAGGCTAAAATTGACACCAGGCGTATCATGAACGACCAAAAATCAAAAATCTGAAATTCCCGAATGTCCCTTCATATTGCAATCACAGCTGCACTCAATATGCTTGACTGAATCATTATAAATTATATATATAATACATATATTGTATATAATTGATGGTCAATTCAAAAGATATAAGTATTATAGGTGAATTTTGCACTAAACTTGCATAAGTGTACCTCTTTTGATGAGGTGACAGAGTTCAAATTTCCCTCCATTTCCCACAATTCGGAAATCTGCAGTGAATAATTTTTGGTCTCTCCAATGACACCCTTGTTGTCAATTTTAGCTTTTAACTCCACAAGAAAACACTGGTTTTCAAACGGATGGTGTCATATTGTTAAGAAATTATTTATTTATTTAAAATGATTGTTGCTTGTAATTATCACAATTGTTTCTATATAATACATGGCATGATTTATCATGTTGTATCATATCATATTCATCTTTAAACTTGAGTTTTGGTTTTTGGCCCACCCTGTACAAAAATGTTTGTGTTTGAATCTAGATCTATACCAAAAAATAAAGTTTGAAAGTATATCTGATTAATGATCCAGACAAATGGATAGATGGCTTTATCCCAGTCCTCTGGAACTTTGTGTAGTATGATGATGACACAAACCATCTGTATGATCCACAAAAACGAAACTGAATAGTTTAAGGTAAATTCAAGTACCTGAAAGGTTAAAATAATAATGAAAATGATAAATGGAAGGGATTGTGCCAAATATGAGCAAGATTTTGAGAATTTGGCATAGATTCATGATAACAACGTCAGTTGGAAATAACGTATTACTCCTACTTCAGTATTTGATATAATATACATTATGAAATACGCATTCACAATATTTATGATGACGTCATTATTCTGTCTAAACTAGAAAGACCAATAAATAATATTATGTTATCAAGTTATAATATATGGTATTCATCAAATTTTTGAAGTTGAACAATCCAAATTTTAAGATGCTCAATAGAATTCAAAAATGAATTTCTATAGAAATGCAATCAGATCTTAACTTTCCAGTTCATTATGAAAAGTAAATGTAGTTTTAATAATGTTTGACCTATCTTGTTTAGTTATAGGGATTCAGGAAAATTCTCTAGCATAAAGTCCTTGTAACCTGCCCCCTCCCCTCCCAGAGTTCCTAAACACAAATCAATGCAAGACTTAAGGGACAGAACTTGCAGAGTTTTAATCTCTGTTCAACCGTGTGACATTCACTTCTTTTAAAAAAGATCTTCTTTTAGGGTCTGAATGAAAGATCATTAAGAATTGCAGTCAAAGATCGGAATTTTATGCCTTCATAAGTAATCTTTTTCCCATGATATGTACTTTTGGGCTCATTAGATCGTCAGCGAATCAAAACTGTAAAATAGCCTATCATAGTCAGAGTATAGTAATTAAATACCAGCCTCTAGATTTCAGGGTACATTGAAGATAGGAGAGAGCACAACAGTAAAATTGATTTAATCCATTGAGAGAGTATGCCAGTCTGCTCTCTAATGACATCACTCAATACTTGACAGGTTGGTACATTCGATATTCAATGAAATTTACAAATGGGAATTCAATAAAGAACAAATGCTTAATATAATATTCTGTGTCCTTAGATAACAGTTCACTTAAAGTTCGCATGATGCAAAAAATAGTACTATGGGTACATGCATCATCGGGAATCGTACTTTGAACAAAAGTAGAAATTTCAAGATTTACCAAATCAAATTTATGAAATACTCTTTGACCATGAATTATGATTTGCCACTGTTATACTATATTTGGTCAAGAACTCATCTGGGATTTATTGCCAACACTGACTTATTGAATCTGTTGATATTTTCTCCAAAGTTGAGACATCACGAAGTTCACAATCCTTGATTTGGTCACTTGGTCTAAGATTCAAATTGATGGTTTTATTATAAGGTTTCGATACACCCCGTAATTGGCCCAAAATGTCTGAAGGCCTAAAATCTTGTTCTCACCTCACGGAGCAGACAAACATGGATACAAAAAGACAGGTGATATTGAGGGGGTTACTCCAGAATAAAATGGACTGAGTCTTTTTACAACTGACACCACCCCTAATCACATTTTCCTATGTTTTCATTGATGTTATATTTGATCAGGTATTAAGTAATTAATGACTGTGAATGTCCTGGCAAGTAAATATGTACATGGCTATAGGATGGCACATACTGCTCCAATCAACTGCCATAAAGGTGATATCACAAGTTAGGTACAGATGTTTTGCTGTAATAATCAATTGAAGATAGACAACTCTACATATTTAAAGAGAAAAATACAAGCATATGTTAAGCCTCAGTCACATGTGCTCTACGGTGGTTATAGGGCGGCCGGAGCTTCACAAAATCGATAGAGAAAATCTACATCGTACTGCTTATCCCCATATTTTATGCTGCATATTTTTCTCAATTTTTGGAAGCTAAGGCTGCTGTAAGGTTGCCGTAGAGGCATTAGAGATCAACTCTGTGTATTTTGAACTGTCTGTTGATTCACATTCAATTAGTTATTAAAAATTACAGGTTACAGCTTAACTGCACATGTGAACTGCACTACAGAAAACTTAGTTATGTTTGTATTTTCCATTTAAAATTGTCCTGCAGTCAATTTATTGCAGATTCTAGCAAAACAAAAACAGCACTAACATTATATGTGATATAGAGAAAAGGTTAAGGACACAGTTGTTCATTTGTTTTATGATTTTATGATGTCATAATTATAAGAACAATTTTCACTGGCTTGAAAAAAATGTATAGAATATATTGTCATTTTAACTGCACAATGTAGTGCATGGCATCATACAGGGAAGTCAGGCCCGCAGCCAGCTTGGCCAAGGGCCAAGGGGGTTCAGCTTTTTCAGCTCCCCTGGCTACAGCATGGACTGAATTATACATACGAGATATACCATACAGAATACCATCTTTATGGCATACAGTCATACCAAAATAAGATTTAAAACATAGCTTTCATTTTATATGGTTGTTCTTTAATGTAAATCTAAAACTCAATATTGATCTGTTAAACAGCCATATTATACTGCCCTCTTTATAATGACAATAGTATCATTAGTAAAGGCATTAACAAAATGTCACCACCTTGGTCCAATATCCTAGATGCGAGTAGAAATAATAGTACAATAACGTCATTTCTAGGTCCAATATTTCACTATATCACTCGCAGAAATGATGTTATTAGTATTATAACCACCGTTAACGACCAGGACTGAAACAGCAAGAAAATCTTACGCATTGAACGATATCTAATTTCCCGGGGAAAATTGCCGGTCCAGAATATATTCTAGACCGGTCCATATGGACCACCACTATGACGTCACACATTTCTCAGGTCGATATAGTAAGATAAACGCCTTCTAAACTAGCACTAAAACCCCTAGAACTGGCCCGGCAAGGTGGTAATAATCTTGATTTACGTCATTAAAAATTCAAAATATTTGGAATCTACATGTAAAATTAGATCTAGAAAATGTGACTTCTAGGTCGTGAAATATCTTTTCTTGTGTTGGGCAGATAATATTTTCTTTTACTGGACATATTTTAATTTGTATAACTATCACATACATAAGTGTAATATGAAAAGTGAACCACTAAAACTGATGAATGTTCAAGTTTAAGGGAATTTTGTAATACCCTGCCATGTTATTTCCCCCGAATCAGCCACCTGGTGGCGAAATTGGTAACTACCTACTCGCATCTGAGTAATTACGTCACCACTGTGACGTCACACATTTCTCAGGTCGATATAGTAAGATAAACGCCTTCTAAACTAGCACTAAAACCCCTAGAACTGGCCTGGCAAGGTGGTAATAATCTTGATTTACGTCATTAAAAATTCAAAATATTTGGAATCTACATGTAAAATTAGATCTAGAAATGTGGTTTTGAAAAGAGTTTATCAACTTTGAAAATTTAATTTTCTTTGAAAATGTGACTTCTAGGTCGTGAAATATCTTTTCTTGTGTTGGGCAGATAATATTTTCTTTTACTGGACATATTTTAATTTGTATAACTATCACATACATAAGTGTAATATGAAAAGTGAACCACTAAAACTGATGAATGTTCAAGTTTAAGGGAATTTTGTAATACCCTGCCATGTTATTTCCCCCGAATCAGCCACCTGGTGGCGAAATTGGTAACTACCTACTCGCATCTGAGTAATTACAACAGTGTAACTATTTGTTAGAAATGCTTAATGTCCAATGTTATAACAATTTGTCAGAATTTCTTGGTGGTTAGATAGAAACACATGAAACAGAAAATGACATAACATGAAGTTACAATACTACCTGCCTGGACAAAATGGCACCACCAGTCATTGGAAGTTGTAAGAATTAGTTACAGATGCCGAATCTCGACACTGACCACAAAACGCCATCGACAAAAGAGTTGGAGACTATAACAATATGTTACCAGTTCTGGTGGTGGTGACATAAAATTATAAAATGGAATCACATCATATGTCCAGGGTACTAATGACAGAAAAACAGAAGAGTAAATCAATACCTGTTGGAGTAGAAGGCTGAGGTCTTACAACTGCATTAACAGAAGCGTTTCTTCTTTCAAACTTCACATATGTCCCTGGAAAAAAACCGACACTTCCTGTTCGCTGATTTTTCCCAAATAACCAGCCTTTGGGATCTTCAATTGTTTCGTCTTCTTCTTCTTTCAAAGAATCAATATCTACTTCTAAAATGTCATCTACTTCAATTGAGATATAACCGTTGTTCAGTTCTTCAGACTCTGGCTGATAAGGATATTCCGCAATGTAGAACAAGATTTCTCCCATGATTCTGAAAAATATACGATATTGTCAATAATTCTGTATGGCCCAGAGTCGATTTGATCTGAGTGACAGTCTCAGAATTTTCTGCATTCAAACTTTAAATATGACCTGTTTGATTTTTGATAGACCAGTGCTGACCTTATAAAGCAGAATATTTGTAAAATGTTTTTGTTTATTCATAATAATTCTTTGCAAATTGGTTAACCTGCAATTAAGGGTCTTATTCTGATATTGAATTTATGTAAATCACGCCAAATTATAGGTGAAATTAAAGTTTGGGGTATTATTAGGCCAGACCAACAAATGAGCATATTATGACAAATCCTGTTCTCATTTTCGCAAATTATGCTTATATCATATAAAAGGAAGAAAGCTTAGTCGATTAAATAATTTAATGAAAAAAATTCTGTGTTCCACGTTCACTGAAAGTAATTCTCAAATGTGTTGATCTCTATCTGCTATAAGTGCATTTGATTTAATAAGCTAAGAGGCAAAGAATTCACCCAAGAGATGGCTAGGCTGAAACATCATCTTGAATATTGATTTAGTTTCACACTAATATGATGGCTAACCATACAAAAAGCAATTTTCATGTAACTTCATTACTCTATAAATTGACCCATTTGCATACGGAAATATAAATATAACTACACTATATATAACTCTAAAGCCTTTTCATTTGAAGATTGTCAAATTTGACCACATTTGAAGGTAATCCCACAATGATTTTGTTGTATGTTTTCCATTCCATTACACGATTTTTGGATTGTAATTATCACAATTGTTTCTATCTATGTCAAGAATATTGAAAGGTTATAAACAGCATATATAGTATCAGCTGTCCTATATCAATGTTTTTGTGATAAAATCATGTTTTCAACCAGGAAGAATATAATCATGACTATTATACATCTCTTATTTTATAATCACTACATGAATATCAAATATCACAAGCTCTAATGCTAGGGAAATCAATGAACATGCTTTTTTAGCAAGTAGGTATCTCACGAGCATTGAGGAAAGAGTGTGCCCCGAATTCTCCTGATACTTTGAAAATAGGCTTGCATCCACCTGACATCTCATTGACAATTGATATATTTTTACCAAATATGGACAAAACTGTAAAAATGAGAATCAAGCTCCTAATTTAGAAAAGAAGAACAAAGACTTATTCAAAACTTTCATGGTCACCAGTTGGTTTGCAAGAACAGCCTGTTAATATAGTGAATTGAAATGTTCACATAAAAAAAAAACTTTTTATTCCATACATCATAAGATGAAATCAAAATCATATTTTAAACTTATGGGAGGGTCTACTATGTACTACTATCCTGTAAAAATATATTTGTGCAAAAGTAAATAGACTCATGCAGAGAAAATGGCACATTCTAGCAAAAAATGCATGCTGTGTTTTGTATGCTCCGTAATAAGGTCTCCAGTTTATTGTCAAAACAAAATATAAACAAAAGACATTTAAAAACATAAACTTTTAACAAGTCACAATTTTGAAGAGCTGTAGTCTAGATAATAATTAACAATGGATACAAGGAAGATTGTTTAAATAATGTACTTATTATGTACTTACCTCGTTTTCTCTTGATAACAAACCACTTGACCATTTTCAGCACATTTTCAAGACACAAGTAAAGGGTCGGGTTGTCTATAAACAAAGAATAAAAAATATATTATAAGTATTTCATGTGAAACATATGCAAGTTATGAATCATCAACATTTTTGAAATCAGAGTGAATTTGTAAGCTCTAATCAAGTTTAAATGATACCTCTAAACAATAGCAAATAACAGAAAATAAGTGTAAATCATTTTGATACTCATCACATCTTTCTGTTTCACTTAAAACATTGCTGAGGATAAATGAGATGTCATGGTTTATCACAATGGGTATCAATGATATGTTGAATTATTTTCCTGAACAGAAATTCCCTATATAATAAATTTAGACTTCCCTCCAGTTAAGTGACAGGAATTTCCTTATTACAACAGATTGCAATGGGAATATCAATGAGATCTGCCAATGTAGAGTGTCAGTCCTTATCCTATCCTTGAAACTACAGTTTAATATTGCAGCTTTATCACTTGCATATTGTAAGCAACTCATACCAATGCTAAAAAGCTAGAATTCAGACTTAGTAAAGGTATTAGTCTGTTTATATGGTGAAATTGCCTTGTGAAATATTGCCTGATATTTTAACCTCTACCCTCCCCTATTCCCTACTCTCACATAATTCCTAATTACAACAAGCAAGACACAAGACTTGGTTAAATTGATGAATTCCATAGCTACTTGAAATATTTGGAAAACTAAAACGGGAAGTAACTTAACCTAGTCAAATCGCGAATATTCACCTTTCTACAAAGTTGAAGAAAATTGATAATTTCCACTGCGCTGATTGGCTCTAAGCAAATGATTGAAATTGATGATGTCAATTTTAGAAAGTTTTGGGGAATAAGTACAGCCAGTATATGACTATTTTGACTTAACTTGATAAAAACGACTATATTTGCCCAATGCAGTAAATATCTTTAATCAAATATGAAATATTGACGAGATACTTTCATCCCAAATCTTAAATTTAATCAATATTCTATACAGAACTAATGTTTATTAATTATAATTCTCAGTTCACCCTCACACATCCCATGCGATTTTTAACAAAAAGGTAAATGGTGGAGTTACACAAGCAACTCGATTAAATTATCTGGTCGTGGTCCTATTAAATAGCTCTTACGTCGCAGAATAAAATCCCATCGCTTAATTCACTGCAAGTGTCATTCGCACAAATCATGCAATTCAATTGAATTGGAACACAAAAACAAGTATTTCGGATATTTTGTTATTCAGAATCCCATCGACCATTCAGTTCAAATAAGCATAATATTTTAAAAGCATAGATATGGTAACTACCATCGGGTTTCTTGCTAAATACAATTAATTATTAGGTCTAGAGAAATAACCTCGGAAATAACCTTCATCCAGACAAAACGCAGAGAACGCCAATGGGCTTATTAAGAAGAAAATATTTCCAAGGTCAAATTCTCTATTCCAAAAAGCTGTTTAAGTTTTTGAAACGCAAATTTCTGTGGGGACAGTTAAACCATTACTGTATTATATTTACTAATCATATTTAGCTGATTTACTCATGGCTAGTGAAGATTTATTGATAAGTGCAAATGATTACAATTTTAAACAGGTCATTAATCAAATAACCTTGACGATCGACGATACATTTAATTTAAATAAATTATCTGTCCATATATTTTTATGAAACATATAATGGTTAACTAATGCTAATGTTTGCTGTTCATATCCAATCGCCGTCTATGACTGTTACTGATCAGCAGTGAACCTCTTCAATGTTCTCCTGATTTTGAATGGAAATTTAATAATTATATTACGTAGAAGGCGTAAATATAATGTCAAGTTGATGTTTAATGAAAAATATCGACATTAATTTTCTAATAATTTACCCATTTGAAGTGGTACAATTGACAGCAATTAACCGAGAATTTACATGTAAACTCAAATACATTTGTTCTTTCAGGGGAAAAGTTTCTATCATTGACGTCACAGATTTTTAAGCTCCTCATTATAATATTCATGAGCCAACTTTATGGAAAAGTGAATAAATTTTCTGGCGAGTCTAACCATTCTCCAGAATTCTTCATCAAATGTCTGAATCAAAGTTTCCTCAGTAATGACTTCAACATCTTTTATGGATTAGGGACCATCTTTTAGGGATTAGTTGACATTCCAATATCATTCATTCAAAAATTACATTTCAGTATGACCCCCTTCCAATTCCTCAATGTGAATCATCAATGCACAGTAGTTGATTTTATCAAGAAGTTGCATACTTTAAAACCATGATGTACAGTATACACCATGGGCTAATAGGCTTTTACCCATTCCCCTAAAGTTATGTAACTAATATTGACCTTGTCCCTTTGCTGTACAGTATATTATTTTCTGCAACATGAGATTTCATAATAACAAGACTGTCATTTCTGCTGATTATAATATGTCTCATATTTCTATTAGGCTCTATTATCAGCCTACCTTTCTCATTAGTGACCTGATTACAAAAATGTAATTCTGTCCTGGCTGTATTACAAGTACTCAAACATCCCAACATTGTTTTTTGCTACATGTCTAAAACTCTTACATAAGTGAGCTATTCAACCTTAAGTTTTAGAGGTGATTCAACATGCTGACAAGATCTTAATAATCTCACTTGCGGCTTTTATGGTATTTCATGATGTTTGAATATAAAATGGATGTTAGCTACTTCTATGCAGAAAATGAAATCCAATGATTTACAAGAGGTAAAATGTTTTGATCAAATAGAGGCTGATCACAAATCATCTCATCTTATTTGTATACTGGTATATTATAACTATAGATGAACTTGGAGAGGGTTGTATTATCTAACACCTGCATGGGTTATTCCAGGTAAGCCTGGTGTTATGCCAGACTTGGCACATTGGCAGAGACTTATATCACCAGTTGTAGAGAAATTCCAATATAATTCATGGGTGGCCATTTTGAATTTTCTCTAAGTAATTCTTATCATTTGTTTCCATGGTTACCATTTGATGAATAAACGAAATGTTCATGAAATGTTAGTAATTCTAGGTTAGAATTTGCAAGATGGCTTTGAGAGGATTTTGTTATAGCATAAAAACAAATAAAATTGACTCATTGAAGATTATGGTTAAGGTTATGGTCATTATTTTACATGTGATTGCAATTACCGATAAGTATGACCTGTATACATTAAAACCTGCATATATGAACAACTGTCAAAGATGAACATATCATAGTAGAAACAGATTTGAAGCCACATAAATTATTCATTACAGGTTTTGATACTGACGCCAATAGTGAAATTCTGAGAAATGGTGTTCACTAAAATAGGTGTTCATTAGAGAGGTGTTCTCTAAAACAGGTTTCACCCATTACTGTACATTTCATTTCATGTTAGGGAAATTGAGCTTAATATAATGCGGCAAATGGTTCATCTTATGTAATTGAGGAGAAATTCTGTTATAGAACAGACATATTGATCTCCGATTCAATAAATTCTTTTAGAGGATGTGTACCATGTTGAAAGTCAATGATGAAACCTGTTATATGTCTGGCATGTACATGTTTACAGCAGCTAAAACATCCATGATATTTGTGTGGCTGATGGGTGATGGCTTAACATTTGCTATAAATTCAAAATGTAGTGAAAAATTTAGCTAGAATTAAAGACATATAAGTAATGACAAAATCAACATCTTCAATAGTTCAATATTTTTACCATCCGAAATATGAAATAAAAATGGATATCTGGTGAATATGGAATGGTATATCCAATTTCTTTTAAAAAATTAAAGAGTATAAAATAATATTGAAATGTTAAATTTTTGATTCACTTTTCTCGAGAAAGCACCCGCTCAACCATTTGATAATGAAACTGAAATATTTGAAACTGAAACATTGAAATAAATTTGGATTCTAGATTATTTCCATCGACATAAAAAATGTATAGGTTTATACAATTATTTTCAAAACTTGAGCTCTATGTTTGTTTATTCAGCTACTGTAAAGTTGGAGTTTTATCTTAAAAAAATCCTCAAGAAGATAAACATAGAAAGGTTGAGACTAGCAAACTCAATGATTGTTCTACATTAAAGGTAATGTTGATAGTTTCGGTAACTTAACAGAAAATTATAATCATTCTACTAAAGTCTAAAAATCCAGTCAAAAATAGTTTCCTTTTTGCTTCTAATTGTGAGTCTCCATACTAAGATTGTGAGTCATTTGCATGGCTCCTTTTTTAAACCCCAAACATATGATGCCAAAATGTAACTCACAAATTGTATTATATTTCTTTGCCTAAATTGTATTAAATTGATGTCATCAAAACTCAAAATAACCTACTTTGAGTCTTAATTTCCTCAAAATCTTGAGATAACATAAACCTGATATTATACAAGACAATGTTTTTGAGTGTGTTGATTCTGACAAATGTGGTTAGTTGTAAATCAAAAATCACCAGTAAAGTATTCCTCTCCACACTATTTGAGGCTGATTTTTTCAGAATAGACTGTCATTTACACTGTACTCACTTTCAGCAGTCAAGATTCTGAAGCGGTTGATAAGGGGCATGTAAACGCTGTTTTAATAAATCAGTCAGCCTTTAAAAGAGGTGTGAGCCTTTTTAGTCTAAATATAAATAAATATGAATTGGTTTTTCAAAATGAATAGAGTATTTCTTCCGAAATGACTATTTACCTCTAGATACCTATGACTCTTACCTCAGGGATAGAATGCACAAATGAAGCAACCGTTTTGCTAATATAGGCAAAATAATCTCCTAAATCTCAATGTGATTTTACCTCTTCAATCTTCATGCTTCCCTCATTTGCTTTTTGTAACTTTTTTTGTTCCATGGATTTGTGTAAAACCCATGGCACTTAAAAAGGATGAGAAAAAACATGGCACACATGCGCATGCCTGCTTGAGAGCTGAACTAGTCAGATTATTTATATTTCGGGCATCTCAATTATTCACACCTGAGCACTTATAAAAATCGAACTCCTGATGGAGAATGCCCCTACTTCAATAATTGAAATTTGAACTCAAATTCGTGAGAAATGCAGGGGTTTCACTAGAATTTCTAAATTTAACATGGAAAAGTTGAAGTCCCTAAAAACAACAGGCGATTTTTGGAAAACAATTGGTGAAAATCTTCTGTTGCCAGGTGCTAATGAAACCCCTGGAAATGTATCTTGCATAAGCTGAAATGAATATTTTTCTGCAGTTTGGGAGAGTTTGGAACAATAAATGTTGAATTACAGGAAAATGTGCCACACATACAACTTCTCGATTAATTTTGAGAGGACCTTATAAATAAAGCCGGTGTATCTAATAATCTGTGAAATAGCCACAAGACAACTGTTGGATTATTTAGTTTTTAGTGCAATAAGCCTGTGCCCTCTTGTAATTTGAGGTGTATCCGCCATGTTATTTTTTGAAGAATTAACATTGTATAGAAGCATCAAAATATAAGAGGTTGTAGACTTTATGAGCCAATTTACAAGCAATCCAACATATACAAATGTCATTCGTGTGCAATATGAATATATTTTTCTATATATTATTGCACAATATTATTTAGATTTCCAGGCCTGTCAACTGTCCCGCAATTTGCGTATTTGTCACGCATTTGCTGAAGAATTTGAAGTCACGCCAGTTTTTTTTGCGTGACAGAAAATGTCACGCAAAATACGCATTTTACCTGGTAATTGTCAAGCAAAAATATTTCTGTAGAAATTTTTTCGAAATATGTTTACGATACGGTAAAAATACGAACGCCGGGAAAAACCGAACGCAATTTGTTCGGATTTGTCACGCGATGTGTCACGCATGTTCATTGAAAATTTTCGTACCTACCCCCCCCCCCCCCCCCCCCCCCCCCCCCCCCCCGTTGACGACAACGCGAGCGTAGCGAGCGCGAAAAATTTGAGGTGTTCAAAGTTTGGCAAAGGTGCTCAAACTTTGGCCAAAGGTGTTTAAAAGTTGGCCAAAGGTGTTCAAAATTTGGACAAAAGTGTTCAGATTTGGACTTAGGTGTCCAACATTTTGAAGTCACTCATATTAGGTGGTCCCAAGTTGACAGCCCTGGATTTCTTATATTTCCAGTTTAACTGCTTGCCTTTGAAGCAGTGTAACAGACTTTAGTAAGACTAAACATGCAATTAATACCTGATGAGTTTGAAAAACTACAGACACAATCAGAAGAGGTGAGAAGCTCTTACAATACTGTCATATTCTTTCTTACTCATGAACAAAATTTATTTAAATCACGCCCATCAGTATATGATGTCCAATCAAATTGCAGGATATGATCACGCGAACAATGATGAGCACATGTTCTATTAGGGCTGTGCGCAAAGTAAAATTTGAAATTGTGGAGATGGCCTTTATTGCAGTTTAACATCATCATTTCTACACTATAGTAATACCATTTAAGTTACTAAATACAAACTTGTAGAGAATAATCATAAAACAACAGTGAACATTCTGAGGTCAATTCCAATGGCAAATGAGACCTGTTTATAAAATTGGTTATTGAGCGTGTCATAGGTCATCTTTGGAATACCCCCTCCCCCTGGGAACGATGACATATATATGATTACTGGATCAATTTCAAAACCAAATGAAAATGCTCGAAAATGCTGACCCAATTTTGAAAAAATGGAAAACATTGAAATTGTTTTTATTTCCGCATCGAATAAATTGAAAATGTCGGCTAAATCCTGATTCAACATAAGTAATCTACCATTGACCAATGCCTCTGTAACTAAGGTAAACTTTGCAAGAGTGATATGTTAAACAAAAAGAGGTATACTTACATAAAGTGAACAAAACGATTGATTTCTACTGCTAAACTTTTCAACAACATGGATGTACACAGAATTTGATGACGTCATATGTCATGATGGCTGGGGAAGGGCTAGGCCAAGCAAATTAAATATGAAAGATTAGTTTAACATCCTTAATTTTATTTTCGACACTGATACTTCTCAATTTGACACCAATATGATTATATATTATCTGATTTGGGAATTTTTACACTGTAAAATGAGATATTTTGATGACAAAAAATTAGGTTTCACCTGGGAAGAGCCCATGGTTTCAACAAAATGAACACTAGGAGCAATCTGCATGCATGAGGTTCCATTTCTTTGTTTTTGCGGATTCACATTAAATCTTGCGATTTGATTAGTTCAAATAATTTAGACGATTGCACTATTTAGTAACTTATTAACTACACATATTCATTGATAGATATCATTAACTCAATTCAATTTCAATAACCAAAGTTAGGACTTGTACATGTTTCACTAAAATTTATGTAGTAAAATGTCAAAAGGTGGCAAAAATGAAAAATTCTCTGGTTTCAAGTTTCAACCTATTTTAGAGCCTGGGATTCAAGAGGTTAACCAGTTGTTAGATGGCCCTGTGGAATCCAAAGTGAAAATAAGTCAATTATAAATAAGTAGATGTATATTTTAAAGTGCAGAGGTCTTTATGTTTAGTTTGAGATCTTAAAGCTGGACATGTATTAAACAGAAGAATAATATTTTTACATAAATAGCCTTTTTATGCAATATGTATATTTATTACTTTATCCACCAAACGCCAATGATTAACAATTCACATACATAATACCTGATGAAACACATCATATATTCACATTAATCTATAATTAATTTGGCCCTCTGCACAAGTTGGCTTGCCAAGATGAATGTAAACCTTAAAGGGTATCTCTTTGCCAAATAAGAAGGGCATACATGTAAATGGCATATACAGATACTCAGACCATCTCTGCTATGCACAAGAATAGAAGGAAACTGAGAGAAGGCTGTGATATTATCTCACGATGCATATAGAGCATGATATAAGAAACTAAATCCCTTATCACAAATGTCACTACATGTATTACCATAAACCATAGGTTCTGGGCCGGTATAAAGATGGCAGCACCAACAGAATCCAGAGAATATTTATAAATAAACACAGATCGATTACCATGCCATCTTTATTTCAAAATTATTCATATCGGCTAATTGTCATTTATGTATATAGTCTTGTTCCAAGTCTCCAGTGAACCCACTCCCCCCTCTGATTTATAACCCAGAGTCTTGACATTGTGTAGAGAAAATGGAGGACATATAGAGGCTTGATGCAAGACTATTAAATGTAACTCACATATTTTAAATTACTCATCAAATCTAATAAGCAATACACATATAAGCTTTGTTATAAAATTTAATTATTTGAGCATTGTTCCTGAGGAATTAAGCAGGCACCAAATTGAATAACTTTTTCACAATGTTGAATCAGCAAAACTATATAAATAAAGAATGGACTGGAAGTTGGCCGTATCTATTTACACCATACATGCCATACAGGTCTTTAAATAACTGCACATTGACAACTAAATTCCTTATCACAAATGTCACAGTCCAGTCCCATTGGAAAATTATTTCAATGACCATATTTTTATATAAAGAATTATTATACAAAGTATTTCCATGCAGGGCCCCAGATACCATCCATATGTTCCACACAATTATTTTACTCCCATTGATTTCAACCAAATAACTATATAACACCTCTGAAATATAAAGAAAAGGGCTTCCTTTAGGATCATACTTAGTCAAATGAAATAAGCTTATAATTATATTCATCATCAATGAAACAAACTTCTAAAAGTATGAGCCCTTTTCTTCCTAAGCATTTCTTTATTGTTATTTACAACTGGAATCTTACTAGTTTGCATGATGAATATTTGGAATCTAGATTTTAATTGGTTACAAAGATGTAATGATATCAAACTTTTGTCCACCATCTTTAACAAAACCATGGGCTTTAAACTAGAAACTAATAACAATACGAACACTAGTTAGTATCATCTAGCTGTGGACCAGTGTGAGATGGTGAATTTTCATCAAATCCACTATACTAATGCTTATGCTCATGTATCTCAAGACTGCTTAACTAGCAGTTGATCCTTGTGTTTTACATGTCATTTCAACTGAGGCCCATTGTCACAGTCATTATGTACATTTATCTCAAGACTGCAACTGAGGCCCATTGTCACAGTCATTATGTACATGTATCTCAAGACTGCAACTGAGGCTCATTGTCACCATCATTATGTACATGTATCTCAAGACTGCAACTGAGGCCCATTGTCACAGTCATTATGTACATGTATCTCAAGACTGCAACTGAGGCTCATTGTTACAGTCATTATGTGCATGTATCTCAAGACTGCAACTGAGGCTCATTGTCATAGTCATTATGTACATAATATCTCAAGACTACGACTGAGGCCCATTGTCAGTAATTATGTACATATATCTCAAGACTGCAACTGAGGCTCATTGTCACAGTCATTATGTACATGTATCTCAAGACTGCAACTGAAGCCCATTGTCAGTCATTATGTACATGTATCTCAAGACTGCAACTGAGGCTCATTGTCACCATCATTATGTACATGTATCTCAAGACTGCAACTGAGGCTCATTGTCAGTCATTATGTACATATATCTCAAGACTGCAACTGAGGCTCATTGTCACAGTCATTATGTACATGTATCTCAAGACTGCAACTGAGGCTCATTGTCACAGTCATTATGTACATGTATCTCAAGACTGCAACTGAGGCTCATTGTCACAGTCATTATGTACATATATCTCAAGACTGCAACTGAGGCTCATTGTCACAGTCATTATGTACATGTATCTCAAGATTGCTGGGGAATGGCTCTTCATCATCATGTTCTCTGAAAATACAGTAAAAGTATACACTTTAAATGACAGTTCATCGTGAAATTATTAACACACTTCATTAACAAAATTTTGTGAAATCATCATGTTACTATACAGAAAATAGAATTGTTATCTTATTCTGTTTTCTTATATGCCTTTGTGATTTTTATATTTAGTTAATATTACCACACATGGTTTCCCAGAACAATTCACCCAGTAGGGTGACTTTCAAGGTGTAGAATACGTGTACTTGATGAAGAACTTACTTTAGTTAGTAGTTAGTGAACTTAACTGGACTAAAACTATTTAGTCAGTGACCTATAATCAGTGGAGTATGGCATAAAACATACTGAATACATTATGACAGTTACAAACCTGTATCGAAGGAATCTTGCAAGTTGTCTTCTCCTCCGCAGTTTTTTGTATATATAGAAGCCAATAATACCAAGGACAAGACCCCCTGCTAAACCAAGTAAAACACCCATAACAACACCCAATGTCGAAGGGGGGTCACTAAGCTTTTTGCTTATTGTACCCGAGTCTCTATCAAAGTTTAGGTCTGCACTGTTTTTGTTGACAGGATTAAAAGATATACCACCCCCGCCATGTGTATTGGTAAATGGATTGAGTACTGTTCCATTAGTAACTGCAAAACATGAATACAGTTGATAAGTTAGTGCAGTGAAGTCCTCCACATTAAGAAGAGAAATTTTCTGAAGGCTATTCAATAACTGCTGATATGAATACTCTCATTTCCATGCTCATGATGAAATCAACTTGGATAGAGCAGGTACTATGTTGATGAATAAATACCACAGGGCTAGGCACAAACATTTTCTATTCCAGAGCGTTTGTGCCTAGCCCTAAGGTATCTATTACTCTATATAATACCTGATCTGAAGTCTGTATTACAATTCGAACATAAAATTTCACCAAAAATTTTTGAATATTCATTATTGGCCTGCCATTACTAAGGCCCACTGTAATGATGTCACATATTACTAAGTGTTTATCAATGAATTAATACCAGTTGAAATATTGACTTTGTTCACAGTTTATAGAAGGCATGGATACAGTCATGTTCCAATTGTAGCAAAATCACAATAAAATATATCTTTTATTGACTCTGTGTATTATTTTAACATATTGATCACTACTGTAACAATATACAATATACAAAACTGAACATATACTTGACTAAACTGACAAATCTCTTACCTGTTTTAAAAGTGATTTTTTCTGACTGACTGAGCTGTCCATTTGGACCCATGCATTCAACATCCAATGTATAATTGCTATGTGGGTGTAGATTCTCCAGAACAATCTGATGTCCTGTTGGTGAAACATGAGTCAGTAATGTAACTTCAGTCTCATCTTCTGCCTTATATGCTAGCGTACAGTTAGCAATTGGCTCAGAGTTTGTCATCCAACGTATAGTGGCATTGTTGGCTGATACTTGTACTACTGTTAGGACTAAACTGCCTTGCAATGGAGTACAATCCACTGAAATATCAAATATAAAAAGTTACATTACTCCATATGATATGTCTATTCTTTTTGAAATGTGCTCAAAGTGTTTGACTCCCAAATATCTATCTTTTCATGATTTTTTCTTAATTATTTTCTTTGTTAGTCTGGGATTGAGGTATGAGTAAGAGCCAGGCCCGTAGCCAGAATTTCCCAAGGGAGGTTCACTTTTCCCAAAAATTCTAGGGGGGTTCACTTTAGAAATATTTCTGTATAAATTACTCATGGTACTTGTTTTTGTTTAGTCCCATTTCAAAGCAATATTTAGGTCAGTAATAGTCAAGAATTATTTCTTGAAAATTGCTTCATTGATTTAATTTAATTCAAAATAGCCACCAACACAGCTTTTTAGCATAACAGATTGTGATTATACATGTACATGTATCTTATTAGTTAAAATTTTTATTTCTAGACATGTAATACTATGTAAAGAGTTCGTCTCGTTTTCACTATAGAGAAGGTTAGATTAATAGACGAGTAGGGATTTGCCAAAAAGTGCTTATTTAAAGAAATAAAAGGATCGACTGACCCTGTTGGGTTTCTTGGTATTTTTGGAAAGCTTAACATATCTACTACATATTCCAAATAATGAGAAGTTCTGAAAATGGTCCCGTTGCCATGGAAACGGACGCTGATTAAAATACCTACTATTAACAGTATTTAATTCACCAATAACATGTTTTATTTTATAACTTTTCCATTTCTTATCCGTTTTAAATAATGTTGGTACCAAATGAAAGCATGTTGAGTGCCCATTCGGATAAAGTATAATTTATGTAAATTAGCTCATTTGCATATCTTTTGTGACGTCATAATTGCAATTTTTCCTAATATTTTGAGCAAATTTTAAAACACATGTTATATATACCCACCTTGAATTAAATAAGCGCAGTAAAAGTGTAATATCTTCAGAGAATATAAATGTAGGACAGACAGGCTTTATTTTGATATATAGAACATAGGTAAATCAGTCTAGATGATATAGTCTACATCCTTTTTAATTCGTACATAGCTGGCAAATATACAGCTAAATGTAGACCTATTTTATGGTATTTTCAAAATATGAGCCAGCTTTATATAAATTATCTTGGCTTGAGATAAAAAACACTGATATTAGCAGGTAACCCCCAGACCCTACTGGGTCTCTAGGTATCTTTAGAAAGCTAAGCATCTCTACTTCATATTCCACATAATGCTAAAATCTGAAAATGGTCCCGTTGCCATGGAAACGGACGCTGATTAAAATACCTGTTATTAACAGTACTTAAATCACCAATAACATGTTTTATTTTATAACTTTTTCATTTCTTATCCATTTTAAATAATCTTGGTACCAAATGAAAGCATGTTGAATGCCCTTTCAGATAAAGTATAATTTATGCAAATAAGCTCATTTGCATATCTTTTGTGACGTCATAATTGCCATTTTTCCTAATACTTTGAGCAAGTTATTAAAATATAATATTATAAATATCGACTTGAAATAAATAAGCGCAGTAAACATGTAATATTTTCATAGAAGATACATATGGGACAGACAGGCTTTATTTTGATATATAGAACATAGTTCAAACAGTCTAGATGATATGGCCTACATCTTTTTTAGTTAGAACATAGCTGGAAAATAAACAGCAACATTTAGACCTATTTTATGGTATTTTACCAAATATGAGCCAGCCTTAAATAAAATATGTGGGCCTGATATGGAAAACGCTGATATTAGCAGGTAGACCCCAGACCCTGATGATACCTTTTGACAGCTAAGCATCTAGACTACATCTTCTACATAATGAGAAGTTCTGAAAATGGTCCCGTACTATGGAAACAAACACTAATTAAAATACCTGCTAATAACACTATTTAAATCACAAATAACATGCTTTGTATAACTCTTTCATTTCTTATCCGTTTTAAATAACCTTGGTACCAAATGAAAGCATATTGTAGGCCCTATCAGGTAAATTACAATTTATGCAAATTAGCTCATTTGCATATCCTTTGTGACGTCATATTTGATATTTTTATACCATTTTTTATGTCCCCACCACATAGTGTGGGGCCATATTGTCGGCCTAGGCGCGTCTGTCCGTCTGTTTGTCTGTCTGTCTGTCTGTCTGTCTGTCCGTCCGTCCGGGAGTTTTCTCCAAAACCGCTACAGATATCACCTTCAAATTTTCAGGGATAACTTATGAGTGCTTATAGATGTTGATGAAAAAAATTTAACTCGATACCTACTTCCTGTCAGCCATTTTGAAGTCAAATGCTAAAATCCTTGTCTGCAAACTTTAAGAAAAACGGCTTCACAGTTGCTTTTAAAACTTTAAAATCTTGTTCGGCTCACTTAATTCTACATCTGATTAGGTTTTGGACCTGTTAGCTCAGATATGTCATAAATCCTCTTCTATTAAACAAGTGTAGTAAACCTGTCATATCTCCATATACCGATATGATGAATGTAACACAACACATCATCATTTTGATAAATAGAGTAGATCTCCACCAGGATAGGAAATACAGAATGTACCCTCTTTAAATAGTTCAATTATTCATTCCTGAGTGATATAGACCAAACTATACATATATTTTGTAGTATTTTAGGAAAAGTATTAGTTTGCCTCAATCGAAGGCATATCCAAACATCTTTTTCTGGTCTCATTTTTTTCCTCCCATTGACTTCCATGCTAAAAAAACTTGAAATCTGACCATCTCCAAATTCGAATAGTGAACACTCATGTTCGAAAAATTAACCTGTCTAATTTGAACACTTTTCACAAAATATCACATATTTTTTTACACAATTGCTCAAATATTTCCAAATTTACACAAATTGGGCAACTCTCTAGTACTCTACAGAGCATTTCTTATACCCCCTGATAAAATATACAGGGGGTACTATAAGGCACCCTCAGACACTAGTAAATATATTAACTTGAAATTTTCGGGAATTAGTTTTAGTATGATGCTTGTCATGTGTGACAAAAATCAAGAAAAAATCTTAATCCATTGCTATAGCAACAGTAACAGAACACTATTTGTGACCGTAGTGCATTATTTTTGCTGATTTTCATAATTTTCTTCATATTCTTGATTCTTAAAGCATCTGAAGTATATACTTATCTATTATATACAGTAAAACCTGTCCGATGGAATACCTCTCTGTAGGGAAAACCTATGAACAAGGAATGCTTTTCAAAAGAACCGAATATTTTTCCATTGACTAACATGTTAACGGACCCTCTCTGTAGGGAAAACCTGTGAACAGGGAACAAGGAACACTATTTTGGTGCAACTTATGAAAATTCACCTGTGAACAAGGAATACGGAATATTGGTGACACTGTATATTCCATTATTTTTCAGAGGTGTGAAAGTCTTAAGCCAATATCTGATTCTAAAAACCTTGGATTAATATGATTGAGATTTAGATAAGCCAATTGTTTACAAGATGTAGCATCCCACCCACTGTTAATTACACTGATATATTTTAAAACTAATACTAATCTGTTTGTTACTAATTATCATGACACTAATTCTTCCTTTCAACAAACATAATTACATCAGATCAGTTGTAATAATCTAGGGAATGACACAATTGTTTTATGGAGATAACAGATAAGTACATGTTACATACGCCAGCAGCAGCGGCTAAAATCAACATCGGGAGAATGCTCCTTACCCTCAGCTAAAGGCTATATGGTGGCCCCCAGAAGCGATACAGGGGTCCCCAGAATCTATACAGGGGCCCCCAGAAATTATACAGGGCCCCCAGAAGCTATACGATGGCCCCAGAACCTATATGATAGCCCCCGGAAACTGTACGGTGGTCCCCAATATGGCCTCCAGAAGCTATACAGGGCCCGTGTGTAGCCCCCAGAATCTATACAGTGGCCCCTTGTGCCCCCCTAAAGCTATACAGTGGCCCCGGAAAGCTATATGGTGGCCCCCAGAAGCTATACAGAGGGCCCCTAGTAGCCCCCAGAAGCTATATGGTGGCCCCCAGTGGCTCCAAGAAGCTTTACAGTGGCCCCAAGAAGCTATATGATGGGTCCAAGAAGCTATATGATGGCCCCCAGAAGCTATAGGGTGGCCCCCAGAAGCTATAGGATGGCCTCCAGTAGCCCCCAGAAGCTATAGGGTGGCCCCTAGAAGCTATAGGATGGCCTCCAGTAGCCCCAAGGCTATATAATAGCCCCCAGAAACTGTACAGTGGCTCCCAATGGCCCCCAGAATCTATACAGTGGCCCCTAGTGCCCCCTTTAAGGCCCCTAGAAGCTATATGATGGCCCCCAGTGGCCCCAGAAGCTATATGATAGCCCCGAGAAACTGTACGGTGGTCCCCAATGGCCCACAGAATCTATACAGTGGCCCCTAGTGCCCCCTTAAAGCTATACAGTGGCCCCGGAAAGCTATATGGTGGCCCCATAAGCTATACAGAGGGCCCCTAGTAGCCCCAGAAGCTATATGGTGGGCCCCAGTGGCTCCAAGAAGCTTTACAGTGGCCCCCAGAAGCTATACAGGGGCCCCTAGTGGCCCCAAGAAGCTATATGGTGGGCCAAAGAAGCTATACGATGGCCCCCAGAGGCTATACGGTGGCCCCTAGAAGCTATACGATGGGCCCCAGAAGCTACAGGATGGCCTCCAGTAGCCCCCAAAAGCTATATGGTAGCCCCCAGAAGCTGTACAAAGCCCCCAATGGCCCCAAGAAACTATACAGGGGCCCCCAGAAGCTATACGGTGGCCCCCAAAAGCTATATGTTGGCCCCCGAAAACTATATGGTGCCCCCCCAGTGTCCCCAAGAAGCTATACATGAGCCCCCAGAAGCTATACAGGGGCCCCTAGTGGCCCAAAAAAAGCTATATTGTGGCCCCAGAAGCTATACAGGGGCCCCCAGTGGCCCCCAGAAGCTATAAGAGGGTCCCCAGAAGCTATAAGAGGGTCCCCAGAAGCAAGCCCAAATTTTCACTGACAAAAAAATTCACTGTGCTGTCAATCTGAAATGTTTCATGGCCATTAAATTTCACTGTTAGAGAAAATATCCAATTGAGTTCAATGTTAAATCAAATATTCACAAGCCTTTAAAAGCTATACGATGGCCCCCAGAAGTTAATACAGGGCCCCCAGTAGTCTGCTTGCTCAGATGAGGAAAGCCAATGCTTATAAAATGTAGACATTATGCCAAAATCTAGACTATGCCAACCCCTCTATTGTATGATTACATTAGATTTCATTATGATGGATGTTCTAAATATTAAACTTACATATAGAATTGTAAATAATATTAATAATATTGTACTTGTACATGATAACCACCAAAGTCGTAATGCTCAAATGAGATCCGGAAAACTAATGGTTATAATGTTAAGACATCATGCCAAAGTCTAAAGTATATGCCAACCTCATTACTGTATGAATTCATGATTAGATTTCATTTAATATACATATAAAATATGCAGTGTCCTATATACTAGTGTAATACTTTATGCTAGTTTAAGAATCAAGAATATGAAGAAATGTTGCATGTTGCAAAATAATGAATCTCTACGGTAACAAATAGTGTTCTGTTACTGTTGGTATAGCAATGGATTAAGATTTTTTCTTGATTTTTTCATACATGTCAAGCATCATACTAAAACTTATTCTTATAGTGCCCCCTGTATATTTTATCAGGGGGGTAGTATAAGAAATGCTCTGTAGAGAGTTGCTCAAGGGTGCTGCTCCGACATCGGTGGTTTTGAGGTCCCAATCCTATATTCATGTTGATAAGTTGAAATTTGAAGAAAACGATTGAATGTCAAAATACCCTATATTTCTGCCTAACTATAAGGCTTGTTTGGCCTACATTTATCTTATACATGAATATATTACACTTTTACTGCAAATATTTAATTTTCTATAATATTTTTTGATACTTTGCTCGAAATGTGAGAAAAATTACTATTATGATGTCACAAAGGATATGTAAATGAGCTAATTTGCATAATTAGCACTGTAACTGAAATAACGAGCTTTCATCTGATTCCAATATTACTCAAAATGGATAATAATATAGGAAAGTTATGAGACAAACATTTTCGTTCATGATCCCGATATTGCCAATACCTAGTGTATTATTTTTATTTGTTTTTATTAGTCCGTTTCCATAGCAACGGGACCAATTACAGAATGTCTCATTATGTGGAAGATTGAGTAAAGATGCTTAGCTTTCTAAAGATACCAAGAGACCCAGTAGGTCTGTGGTTTACCTGTTAATATCAGCGTTTTCCATCTCAGCACCCATAATTTATATGAGACTGTTTTATATTTTGTAAAATACCATAAATAGGTCTATTTTTGCTGTATTTTTTCCAGTTATGTACTAATTAAAAAGATGTGGGCTATATCTCCCAGACTGATTGAAATATGATCTATATATCTCAATAAAGCCTGTCTAGGCTACATTTGTGTTCAATGAAGATATTCAATTTTACTACAATTATATAATTTAAAGGGGTTATTTATCCCATGTAATTTAATAACTTGCTAAACAATATTAGGAAAAATTGCAATTATGACGTCACAAAATATATGCAAATGAGCTAATTTGCATAAATTATAATTTTTCTGAAAGGGCATTCGACATGGTTTCATTTGGTACCAAGATTATTTAAAATGGATAAGAAATGGAGAAATTATAAAATAAAACATGTTATTGGTGATATTTATACTATTAATGGGAGGTATTTTAATCGGCGTCCGTTTCCATGGCAACGGCGCCATTTTCAGAACTACTCATTATGTGGAAGATATAGTAGAGGCTTAGCTTTCTAAAGATACCCAGTCTGAGGTTTGCCTGCTAATATCAGCGTTTACCGTCTCAACCCCCCATAATTTACATAAGGCTAGTTCATATTTTGTAAAATACAAGTTGTACCATAAAATAGGTCTACTTTTGCTGTTATTTTTCCAGTTATGTACTAATTAAAAGGACGCAGGCTATATCGTTTAAACTGATCGAGATATGTCATATATATCGAAATAAAGCCTGTTTCTCCTACATTTGTATTTTATGAATATATACAACTTTACTACACTTATTTAATTCAAAGGGGTATTTATAACATGTATTTTAATAACTTGCTCAAAATATTAGGAAAAATCACAATTATGACGTCACAGAAGATATGCAAATGAGCTGATTTGCATAAATTATACTTTATCTCAAAGGGCACTCAACATGCTTTCATTTGGTACCAAGATTATTTAAAACGGATAAGAAATGGAATAGTTATATAACAAAACATGTTTTTGGTGATTCGAATACTGTTAATAGCAGGTATTTTATTCAGCGTCTGTTTCCATGGCAACGGGACCATTTTCAGAACTTCTTATTAAGTAGAAGATGTTGTGGTGATGCACAGCTTTCCAAAAATACCAAAAAACCCAACAGGGTCAGTCGATCCTTTTTTATTTTATTTTTTGCAAATCCCTACTCGTCTATAAATAACATGTACCATTGAGCAATCCTGGGAACTAGTAGAACAGATTCACAGCGGAAAAGAGTGACAACGGTAAAGTCAGATTCCATTGTCACAAATGGCGGACATAACCGTCGCTTCAACTGTTTAATCACTTGGTCCTCATTTCATGGGATTTTATTGTCGCTAATTCTGTGCATGTTTTAAGCTCTTATGATAATGTATCATATGAAATCCCATTTTCAATCAAATTGGGTCGTGAATCGCCACAACATATCGTCTTTGAGTAATTTAGAAAGACAACGGCATGTGGTAATCACAGTGTCCATTGTCCCGTATCTAATTTAGATCGGTTAAATTAAAGACTTTAATTATTTCGATGACAGTACAATGAGTATTAAGGTTCAGCTGGAGAGTAACATTTTGGTAAAAAATTGCTATACCTGCACATGTTATTTTCTGGTACAAAATTAAGTATGAAGGCATGTGTGTATTTCCTTGCTTTTTTCAGGAAAGTATCATTACACTGTCTACTTTTAGTAAACTTGGAAACAGGTCAATGGTAGCTCCTGTGTTGTCTGGAAACTTTGAAAGAAAATTTAGAAATAGAAAGTGTGAAATATCAGAATTTCCTGGAGTTCCCATTGAACGCCTACCAGATATTCTAAAAGAAAACAATGATATGATACTTTCCTGAAAAAAGCAATGAAATTGATACATGCCTTCATACTTTATTTTGTACCAGAAAATATAACATGTGCAGGTGTACCAATTTTTTACCAAAATCTTATTTTCCAGCTGTACCTTTCCAAAGGAATTTAGTCTAGGTGCTCTATCAAACATACAGTTCATGAAAATCTAATTGAAGCGACGGTTATGTCCGCCATTTGTGACAATGGTATCTGACTTTGGCCGTTGTCAGGCTATTCCAGGTGAGATTATGAACTATTAATTTTGACGGAAAGTGTAGCGATTTCGCAACACAGTGTCTAAAGTCCTTTTTAGTTTTGTTTTCTCCCTGGGGGTTTTGTCAATTCCATTTCAGTGAAATGGAGTTTATGTGAGACACTGCATAACACAGCAGGAATGTAATGTACAACACAGTACATGTACATAGACCAGCACTATATAATTCAATAACAGGACAGATGGGGGGACAGGGAGGTCTGAATGTCTAAATTCAGACAGATTATAAGAAAATTAGAAAATTATACAAATGAAACTCTATTATCGCCCACAATTTTTTTTTAGTGAATGTAAAAGGTGATTGACCAATGTGTTAGTAGTATAAATCACTATTACCTATTTCTAGAAGAAGATAAATGGCCAACATATACTTCAATAACTCGATGGCGTCCATTTTGACGTTTAGGTTGTAGCAAATCGTATTTTACATCATAGAATTTTTTCGAGAAATTTTCACTTCCTCTGTTGACATAGCCTCGTTGTGGATTTAGATCTAGCAATAAAATTGAGAAGAGGTCTATCTCAGGTAAGGATCTTCTATGCAGCAGCCTTTATCTTTACTATATTGATGTTATTAAATATTTGTTCACTTGGAACTAATGACGATGCTCATAATATAATCTATTATTCTCAAAGAGACGTCACTGTACATTTGTATAGATCTCTACAGGTCTATTCTGTTGGCTATTTTCACACCTTTCACACTGGCACGGTTATGGGATGTCCTCCATATATTACTTATTCGAACATGACTGTATTCACGCCTTCTATAAACTGTAAACAAAGTCAATGCTTCAGCTGGGTTATATTCGAGATCAATAAGACCACACTTGTCCGTCCCCATCTTGAATACTGCACCGTGGCTTGGAATCCCAGGTACCAGATAGACATTGACAAAATTGAAAAGATACAAAGAAGGGCCACTAAAATGATCACAGGCATGTCCGATCTTTCATATCCAGACAGACTGAAGCAACTGAACCTTTTCTCCATGGCCTACAGGAGGAAAAGAGGAGATTTGATCCAAGTCTACAAGCTCATGAACAATATAGACAACATTGATTACTCCCTATTCTTTACTCTAAACCACAGTACAACAAGAGGTCATAGCCAGAAATTTTATAAGGACAGATCAAATCTTGCACTAAGACAAGGTTTTTTTAGCCAACGGATTGTCAATGAATGGAATAATCTCCCTGAAAAAGCAGTTACAGCCCAGACACTAGATGACTTCAAGGCAAAGATTGATGCCCACTATTACCCAGACATGAAGTAGAGTACAAGCGAGTAGGATGACCAGTTTACACTCACTAGGTTTTATTTTGGTTCAATGTCAGTTTTTATGAATCACAAGTCCCTACAAATTACCAGTACAGTTATAAGTCTTTGGGAAATAAAATACCAAAGCAGTTCTTTGAAATTATATGTCTTGAAGGGAGGAACCCACAGGCACACGCCTTAAACTCCTAAAAACGATGATGATGATGATGATGAATAACCCAGTTAATACGTGTAATGTGTGACGTCATAACGGTGGGTTGTAGTAATGGCGGACCATGATGAATATTTGAAACAATTTGGTGAGTTTTCATGTTCGAATCGTAATATAGACCTCAGAGCAGGGTTACTAGTTTCGAATAACACCCCGCTGGTCTCGGCACAAAAGCTTTCGAACCCCTCACTCCCTTCGGTCGTTCGGGGTACAGAAAACGTTTGTGCCGAGACCAGCGGGGTGTTATTCGAAACTAGACACCCTGCTCTTTGGTCTATATTTCTTAATTATATTATTTGTATATACCTCCTAGATGGAGGACTTCCCACTATCCGTGCACACTGGACATGTAAATGTACTTTTGTGATGACCCTCGATAGCAAGTTGTTACTGCACTACACTTTGGCTGAAGCGGTGTCCGTTTTGGGTTTTGATTCCCCATTGAATTTAGCACACTCCCTTTCAGATCTACATGTAGTATCAGGCTCGTTACATTTCAGCTCCCTGAACGAGTGTGCCGAGTCTCGTTACACTTTGATAGATTGTTCTTTGAAAACATTTCCATTATGCAACCGCCCCCTTTGTCTCGAACCCCTCTCATTATAAAACCATGGGCTTTCTCTGTTGAAAGCCCATAATAAAACAAACACCCTATATACCAAAGGGTTTGTATAAAAATACGGGTTTGGTGAAAATACTGTTATTGCCTCCAACCTTTTTGTGGACAGCATTCGTGTATTTGGCATGGCAGTTGATGTTTGGTGGGTGGCATTGAGCATCTGTAAAAAATGGTAGGAGGTTACATTTTGCATGTTAAATTGTAATGCCTTGTTTACATTTATTTCCAGCAGAGATTGAACTTCCAGATCCTATTTCAATATGGGTAACGTCCTAGGAATGAATAAGATCATGGATGATCAACTAGCAAAGAACCAAGAATTCATGTTGAAGATGCAAACCATGACTGTAAGTTTAATATAGCATTAAAGATGTAGGTATGATGAAGTCAAATTGTAACTGCATTGTTCATAGTTCTTGCATTTTTGCATGGGATGACTGTAAGTTCAATATAGCATTAAAGATGTAGGTATGATGAAGTCAAATTGTAACTGCATTGTTCATAGTTCTTGCATTTTTGCATGGGATGACTGTAAGTTCAATATAGCATTAAAGATGTAGGTATGATGAAGTCAAATTGTAACTGCATTGTTCATAGTTCTTGTATTTTTGCATGTACATAAGGGATTCAGCAGGAGAGGCAAACATTAAAATTTATGCATTGAACTGTTTACATATAGTAAAATCATATTGAATTGAATTTTAATAGAGACAAAACTGGCAGTATACATGCATATTTTGAAAGAAAAACTGTATAGGAATCAAACAATGTAACTAGGCCTATGTATTTTTGTAAATATGTTTTATTCTTGAAATATAGTTTAAAAAAATTGAATTATTGAACCTTCATATTCTTCAGCTGGAGAGGCAGTTAGCAATGCAGAATGTGATGAGGGAGAGGATGATGGCCACACAAATTGCCAGATCTAGGGACTTGTTCTACTGGTTCGCATCATTTTACAGTTTAGCCTTAATAGGAGGCATTGCTGGGTTAGTATGCTAATTTACTTTGTAAATGTTGCCATTTGTGCTTCCTTGTTTGAACTTACGGAACTTGTAAAAGATAAATTCAAGCTCCTATTTCCATCCAGTTTGAATTGCCAAAAGAGGGACATGAAACAGTTCAAAACAAAAGGTACTAGTATAAGGTAATCTTGTACATGTATACATCTAGCAGATATTTTGCTCCAATCTCTCACACATTCTCAAAAGCAGGTCTGATAGGCGAAGCATCCTTCATCAAAAGACTTCATTTATGCTTATATAAAATACTATATACCCTTGCTGCAAGGATGAGGTGAAGTAGTTGGGGCAGAGACAGGCTTGTAGCCAGGATTTGTCAAGGGGGGGTTCAGTTTTCAAAAATTTCCAGGGGGGTTCACATTTGAAATTTTGGCCCAAATATGGCTAAAATCACTTGAGAAGTGCTCAAAATGGTGAAAAACTGCATGATTTTGAAAAAATTTTGGGCCGGGGGGAGGGGGGGGGGTTTCGCCCGAACCCTGCGAACCCCCCCCCCCCCTTGAGAGATGTCATATGATGTTTGTCAGAAGTAAATTCCTATTAAACAAAAATACTTCTAAACTCAATACTTCAAAACATTGTAGATTTACTTATTTATTTGTTATTTTAGGTTCAGACATACCAGAAAACCTGCAGCCATAGTTCCCTTAGTACCTCTAACATTTATCCTTGGTTACCAAGCTGATATGGCATTTTACACAAAGATACATAGAATACAAGGTAAGCCCTGTGTGGTGGTATTACAACAGACATGTGTTCACCAAGTTAGGTCTTGCCTTAATAATCCAAATTTTTGTATTTTGTCATCTTATAATTTCTCAAATGTTTGGTATAATGATTGTGGATTTATGATGATTTGATATATTTTGATAAACTGATAAACTACTGTTCAAATGATCCAAACCCATTTGCTTGTAAGAAGACATCTGAATGTGAATATTGTTAGTTTACTCATTTGAATCCATATACAGTACATGGTATATAAGTGTTTAGTAATTACATATTTTTGTGCATTGCAACTGAAAAAACAATTTCAGGGTTTTTCATTGTGTATTTTTGTTTTTATACTTTTTATATTTGTTTGCATACTTTTATTCACCATTTTGTCTCATTGCTTTCAGTTGAGGCGGAAAGTATATTGAAATCTGAACAAGATCTTCTTGCAATGCCAGGTGGTGTCCCCACTGTTGAGACAATTGACCAGGCTAGACGAGCCCGCAAGGATGAGGAACGTGCCAAAAGTCATCAATTGTTCCTTTAATTTAGAATCGATATAGGATTTCATATATAGTTTTATTAGCTATTTTATAGTCTTGTTTCAAGCCCTTTGTGACCAGTAGCCCTCCTTAAGACTTTATGTCAAGTAGACATGGGTAGGGTCCAAAGACTTGATGCAAGGCTACCGTTTTCATGGATATATAAGAATAAAGACAGTAATTTATATTGACCTGTATTGTTTGTCAGGGGATGTTCAGATTCAGGTTTAGCCAAAGCAATAAGTCTGATTGTTGATAATTGTGAAGAACATAAAAAATCAAAAGTTTTTAAATGTTATAGGATTAACTGTATAATTATACAGTAGATTTGTCAGCTATTTTTATAGTCTTGCTTCAAGCCCTTGTGAATTGTAAATATATTCTCGCTATCTCTTCAATGGAGTAAAATTTGATCAGAGCCTTCATTGCTCATTTGTAGAGTGGTCATGGCTCAAAAGCAGTCAGAGAACAGAATTAGTTTCTCTCTCCATTGATTGCATTTTACAGCAATCTCACATTGCTGCTTTGTAATCATAATAACAATGGCATCCACGTAATTGAAGCCATGTTAGCAAATATTCGTCATTCGTTTAGTCTGTACCCCCTTTCCGTCACTCCTTATTGCATGTCGTGATAGAGAAATAATGAATGGGTTTGTGGGAGGGGGTTACGGGGGCTTGATGCAAAACTACCATATCTTTATAACATCTATCATGGAAATGTTTACAAATGTGTATTATCTGTACATATTATAGAAGATTATGGTTGATTATTTACTTTGTAAGATACTTTTCACCTTAAATGTGAAGTTACAAGCGTCACATAACAAGGTGTTTAAAAGATAAGGCATATGGTCTATTCACATTATGATAGATTATGACACAACATAAAGAGTGATTGAATTAAATGTATAGTAGTATAGATGTACAGTATACATTCAATTTTCAAATAGACTTACCATATACCATGTATCCTGGTTTGTTTTTATCATGACTGTAACAAACATGGGGAGTAAGTCACCCTCTCTCTATTATACCCTACATAAAGGGGGAGGATGACTTACACCCTGTGATAACAAAGACCTCGATTCTGTGAGAAATTGTGACCCATGTTTTTTCCCATGGTGAAACAATGATCAGAAAAATAATATGTTTTGCCATAAATCCTAATATACTGGTCTATATTCCTGAAGGATCCCATTGTTTTTATAAAGTTTAAAAATTCATTATTTCTTTAAAGAATGTCTAATCTACTTGGAGTAAAAGACCTGTAAAATGTGATGAATAAAGGTTCAAAAGGTAAACAGTAAAACCTGTCTAATTCGAACAGCATTTGGACATAATAAAAGTGTTCCAATTATTCGGCGTTCCCTTGTCAAGTTTTTTTTTGTAATATGGATGGAAGTCAATGATACATTTACAAAAAAAATAGCAAGGAAAATGTTCAGATTTGAGAGATGTTTGGATTTGGATATACAGGTTTTACTGTTAAAATGCAGTGATATCTGATGGACCACCCTCACTGCAGGGATTTATTGTTCAAATGTAAATCTCAGGATCAATCTAGAATTAAATAAGGCCACTGTTAAAATAGTATTAAGCTCAATATAGAAAGTGACTTTCTAGATAGTACAGGCTATGGATCTCACACTGGTTTTTGCATAAAACAGTAAATTCAAACGTTTTACCATATTGAGAATAGGATAACCATGACGATGATTAGGAAGCTTGTCATTAACAGAAATATATTTATTTCTATGCCGAGATTTGTAATATGATGCATATAGATTTACATGACACCTATATGATAAAGTATGAGTGAAAAATAATACTTAATTATATTGTATATTGTACATTGTATTAAGATAACACTAAAGTAATTTAATAAACATTCTTAATCTTAATATGATTTTCTGAATGTTATGTTTAGATATAATATTATTTTTAATGTGAAATAAGAATTACTAATGGGAAAAAATGAGTAATTATCTGGAGTTTTATTATGTCAAAACCAGAACAGATACAGAGATTGTACAATTGCCCCGCTAAGAGAATCCACCCACAACTCTCACTCACTTTCTGGGTAGCTTACGCTGATGGTGGGTAGTGAACTTTATGTTCCGGTTCCTGTGGTCACATTCTAGCCCGCATCCTTACCCCTCTCACCCAGGCTGCTAGTTCGTTCAGCCTACCCTTTGCATTCCTCATCATACTTAGACTCTGCGCGCAGGGTAGTTTCAGGCCCGGTACCATGTTGAAATGGACCATGGCCATACCATGGTATACCATGGTATGACCATGGTATACCATGGTATATGGCCATGAAATGCAATGAAATACCATGGTAATACCATGGCCGATCATGAACGTTAAATGGCACCATTGCATTTCATTGTTAACAGTGCGTTTTTAACATGGAGTTTTCCATTGAAAAAATACTGCCGTTTCGCAGTATTTCATGGTCAGAAACCATCAAATGCAATGATATCATGGTCAAGTTCTCGGCCATGATATCATTGCATTTGATGGTTTCTTGACCATGATATCATTGCATTTGATGGTTTCTGACCATGAAATACTGTGAAACGGCAGTATTTTTTCAATGGGAAACTCATTGTTAAAAAAACGCTCCTGACCATGAAATGCAATGGTGCCATTTAACGATCATGATATACCATGGTATACCATGGTCAATTAACATGTAATTTTGTATCTAAAAAATACCACCGTTTCACAGTATTTCATGGTCAAATACCATCAAATGCAGTGATATCATGGTCTAGACATTTTACCATGATATGCAATGGAGCCATTTAATTATCACAATCTACTATGGTATACTGTGGAAACTATACTTAAAATTTTGCATTTAAAAATACTGCTATTTTGCAGTATTTCATGTTTGCAGACCATCAAATGCAATGAAGTACAGTCAAGATGTTTAATCGAAGACTGGAGGTTTGACTTTCAAAATATTAAGTTGATCTCCTATTTAACCGACAACAGTCAAATAAAAGTAAAGCATATTTGTTTAACAAAAAAAAAATTGTTTCTAGGGTTATCAACTTAATTATTCATAATAGAAATTAATTTATTAAATAAAGGAACAAAAGTATATAAAGTTGTGATTTTGATGAATATCAGAATCACTAATTATAATAATTTGGTTATCTAATCAACATTTATTAATAAAGATATTTCATGTAAAAAATACTTTTTGAACATGGCCTTTCATTGTATTTCACTGCATTGCAAGAAAGACCATTGCATTTCATTGCATATCATGATCAATCATTGTATTTCATTGCATTTCATGGTTAAACGTGATATTTCATTGCATTTCATGATCTATTTCAACTCTGACCAATTTTGGACTTGAGACTCTTGTAGAGTTCTTTTTAGCAATGAAATACCATGGTATAACCATGGTATTTGATGGTCAGGTTTGAAAATGAAATGCTATGAAACACAATCAACCACGAAATGCAATGATATGCCATGATAAATGATAGTTATGATTATGGCAATGAAATACCATGGTGTGACCATAGTATTTGATGGTCAGGTTTGACAATAAAATGCCATGAAATACCACCAACCATGAAATGCAATGATAAAACCATGATAAATGAGAGTTATGATTTTGGCAATGGAATGACATGGTATGACCATGGTAATTGATTGTCACACGGTACAATGAAATGCAAGGAAATGACATCAACCATGATATACAATGGTAATACCATGGTAAATGATGGTCAGGTACATAACAATAGAATATCATGGTATGACCATGACATTTGATTGTCAAATTGAACAATGAAATACCATCAACCATGATATACAATGGTAATACCATGGTAAATGATGGTCAGGAACGTGGCAATGAAATACCATGGTATGACCATGGTATTTGATTGTCACATCTTATAATGAAATGCCATCAACCATGATATACCATGGTAAATTATGGTCAGGAACATGGCATTGAAATACCATGGTATTTGATTGTCACATCTTACAATGAAATGCCATGAAATGCAATCAACCATGATATACCATGGTAATACCATGGTAAATGATGGTCAGGAACATGGCAATGAAATACCATGGTATTTGATGGCAAACTTTGGACATGAAATACCATGAAACATGGTATAACATGATATACCATGGTATACCATGGTCAAAAATTGACCAAAAAAACATCATTGCCACCATGGTCAGAGTTGATGGTAATTTCATTGCCGATCATGATAGACCATGGTAAACCATGGTATACCATGGTATCATGGTTTACGTTTAAACATGGTTTCTCACTCAAAAATGCCGCTGTATACTTTGTAAGATTTGTATTATTACACAACGTTGACAATTTGCCTATATCTAAATTTAGATCATTATTTATGTGAAGGGAAAACATTTGGTGATCACGATTTACACCAACTATTGGCAATTGTATTATGGACATACTATTGGGGATTTGCAAGTTCAACAATTGAATTCGGAAAACTACCATATAGTTTGAATAGCTCAAATACTGAAATAGTACTGAATCGTTTCCTAGTCTTGAGTTTTGGGTCTGAATACAGACAAGTGAAGGCTGCATGGGAGACATCACAAAACTTCAAAATGAGTCCAAATTGATGATGAGGCCACATTTCCGAAATGAACAAGAAGTGTCGTTGAAGAGAAGTAAGTTTTACTATTGGTTTGGTAACTTCATTTCAAAATGTTAAATTCGTTGAAGATGATGATCGTTGTAAGCCAGGTCATCTCAATCTCTGTCCTTCTGGAGATCTGCAGTGCAACAATAGAATAGCACTCTAGATATTTCATGAATCTTATATTAACCAAAGTTATGGCTGATTCTGTATTTGAGTTAAAAATGTTAGCCCTCATAATAGTACAAGGGATGGTGGTATTAAAATCACATACTGTATTCATCATTGTAAAGTTGGCTAAATACTATTTATCTATTTTCCTGACAATGACATTGATTCGTTTCTTTTCATTTTGTAGATTTGAATCAAATTTGAAATGACTGAGAAGTTGATATTCACAGAAGGATATAACATACCACAGAGCCAAAAATGATAAGTGACAGGGGTTGCAATTTTAAGATGAGCATCACAAAGATATTTCTTATACTGCTTATTCAGTATACAAAACATATAACATGTCAAAACGCAACGGGAACTAATCAAACAACGAATACTACAACAAATACAACTACAATTTCATCTGTTACTACAACAACCAAAGCTGCCGAATCCAGCGTTGCCATGGAAACAACTACAATGTGTGGGTCAGTGACCTGCCTTCACGGAGGTGTTTGCAAAACAAAATCCGATGGAAACAATGGATGCCAATGTGAATCAGAATTCGAAGGATTGAGCTGTCAGATAGTAAAACTGAAAGTTCTTGAATTTATGATCAATTCAACAAGTGTGACATTCTTCTGGAAAGTGCCCCCAAGGCTGAATGGATACGAATTCGTGTACACTTTGAAATATGACACAAATGCCCCATTGGCTTACCAGAACATAACCATGAATGAGAATAGCCGGGATGCAACTTTAGCAAACCTTGTATCAGGCGCAATGACTTATCTTACGTGTATTATAGAGGCAGGTACAATAATAAATGCATCCAATCCAACCGAACTAAGTACTATAGTCAACAAAGACAACTCTAATTGTTTTTCCTTTACGACTAGTTACGATGGAAACGACCCATACACAAAGGCTGCAATTGGCGTGGCCATCGCTATGGGAGGGGTGATACTAATTCTTGTCATAATGAGATGTAAGTATTTTTACTGCTCTTTAAACGTTAAAAGCATTCACTACTTATAAAAAGAAAAGTGCAGCAAAATGGATTGTCTATTTTTATCTCATTTTCTTCTTTATAAATAGACAAAACACTTGTCAACCATATATTCTTTGTTTATACCAGCCTGAACCCTGTCGTTAAAAGGTAACATCCAAAACACCATATTTGTCTTTACTTTGATTGAGAGCCAGCGGCGAGGGTATCATTTACGGAAACATTTTCATCCCATGTACCAGTATCATTCGCAAGTTTGTCCCATCTTATTAATCACATTGTGATGGAAATTAGATGTTTTAAGAGAAACATGAAACCAATGAATTAGTTCTGCCTCTGTGTAACATATCTAGAGCAGGTAATGTATAATTTCGATGCCGATTGCGTTACTTTCTTGAATCTAATGTTTTGACATATATTAGGTAAATCTACGAGCTCTACGGAGTGCGTGTAAATGAAATCCAACATGTATCAATACTTATAGCTTTCATCCATTTCACACATTTGAAGATGGAGCAACTAAAACCTTAGGAATCAAAATGGCCTTTATATTTTACAGGGGGAGTTGACTGCGGGCGAAAAGTGACAAAGAATATCAAAACTCTTGGTTTTGAGAGAGCAGCTTCGCAATGGATCCACAAGATGTCAGCTAAGGACGAGGGTAAACCAACTGAAAATGTGAACATAGCGATAGAAGCTGTTGGTAAACAAATGTTGGACGTAGCTCGTGCTAATCCATCAGCCCTGCAAGATAACAGGAGCGTTGCATCATCTGGGGGACAGAAGTTTACTCGTGGAATGAAGAAGAAATATGCTGATTTAGCAATGAGTGATTTACCAGTAGGGGATATCAACAGAGGGCATAAACCTGGTGGTGCAAGGCACAAACATGGAAGAATGATCCTCAGCCCAGATCCGAACTTAGATGAACACATTTAGATATTGATCAGATCATCAGACGCCTAATGTCTCTATTATCTATGTCCATGACCATCATACCTTAGAACATATATAAGTGGCTCATTTTGTAAATTTTATAGATCCAGGCTTTCATGAAAAGCATCTTCGATCGGTTAGACATACCATACATTGTCGACTCCCTTGGACAATATGATATTTTTCTTGGTCAATATCATGTTTTCCCTCGAAATAAAATTCATATTCCATCCCTCCCATTAAATAACCTCTACTCGTGATTAACCATACATTTTTATCGCACTTTGAAAAAGTGCTATATTGTCGTCGTCTTGTGCTGTTGGGCGGGCAGGCGGGCGTGCATGCGGGCGGGCGGCACATAAACCAAATCTTGTCATCAAATTTCCAGGATAACTGCTTACCTGTTCAACTTGAAATTTTTACAGATGCAAGAGCAGACTAGTACCAAGATCTGATTAGGTTAAGGGCATGCTGGGTAAACTACGTGGCGGCCATTTTGAATTTTTCAACAAATATTGTCATCAAAATTCCAGGAAAACCAATTATCCGTTCAACTTGAAATTTTTACAGATGCAAGAGCAGACTATTGCCAAGATCTGATTAGGTTTTGGGTATGCTGGCTGAATTACATGGTGGCCATTTTGAATTTTTCAATTTGGCGGCCATTTTGAATTTTTCAACTTGCTCCAAATTGACCAAATTGTTTTTTTAAAAACATCTACAAGTTCAAATCTGACCTTAGATTTCAGATTTGACCTTTCGTTGACCTTCAGTGACCTTGAAAAGGCCAAAATTTGATTTTCTAAATTGATATTTTGGATTTAAATTTAGGTCAGCTTAATTACAAAAGACCTACTGAGGTCTGAAAAAGTGAAATTTTCAAGGTCGAAGGTCATCAAATTTGGTCACATACAATGTTATCTAAATTTTCCCAAAGTTCAAGACTACAAATAAATTCTTGTCATCACAATTGCAGGAAAACCGCTAACCTTGTCAACTTGAAATGTTTACAGATGCAAGAGCAGACTAGTGCCAAGGTCTGATTAGGTTTTGGCCATGGTGGGTAAATTGCATGGTGGCCAGTTTGCTCTTCAAAGTGCGATATTTATAACTGTGTGTCTTGTTACTATAAGTACGCTGTTGGTGCACACTCCCGTTTCACAGCACGTTATGAAGTATATTCTCGCAATTTGACCAACATTCGACATCATTCTTCCGAAATTCATTGAAACATGTACATAAAATTATGAAAATGACAAACCTACATTCAATCTAAGGAATGAATCGATGAAAAAGTATTTCGAAACAAACCAAGCAACTTCAATCAAAACATCGATTTAAAATTGAATAAACATGGAAACCAAGACAAATTCTAAACTTTGAAACTGAAAATTTTGTACTAATGTTCCTTTTTTGATGAATTTATATGCAAATCCTACAAGATATAATCATTATTAATATCAATAGATAAACATTACATCAAAATGACATGTGTTCTGATAACTTTTAATGCGGGACTCGTCAATCGCTTATTACGTTTTCTTGCGTATTATAACCCGTAGCGCGGGAATTTCTTTATTCTGTAAAGAATACGGTATATGTTCATGATTCATCATTTGGTACCAATGTAAAGTATGGAACATGCGCAGACAAGTAAAAAAGCTTTCTAATTATTTTAATAAAATCTGTCCTCTCTAATCTCGATGAAACAGGACACAAAGTTCCCATTTTGAATGTAGAATGACGTCAAAACAGCCAAGGCACATTTAGTTCAGACTTCGGTATTATTCATTTTAAAAGGTGAAAAACTGAAATAGAGTCTCTACTTTTTAAAACATTATAATTACCCGATGCTCATCTGAGAAAAATATTTTTTGGACTCAAAATATTAAAATACTCATACTCTCAGACTCATAGATTAAAAATGCCCAATTGATTTTAAATATTTTTCAATATTTGATAGAATTTACAAGGTTTATATGACCATCGGGTTATCAAATATACTTTTTTATAGAACAAACATCTTCTAAATTGTTAACCATAAGAATTTGGAATGATTCATTGCAATTTAAAAGACTTAAATTGCTTAGAACATATCGATCGTAATTTTGACGTTGAAATCTCTGAGGATTTGCAACTTCTCACACCTGGGGACCAAAACGCCGCTAAACAAGGGACTTTGTAAACAAAAGCAATGACTCGACTGAAAGGAGTTTCTGTGAAGGCTTAATGGAACAAGTTTGAAGAAAAACGGCGTAGTGTGAGACTCACAATGATTCATTTTCCAAAGAAGGATAGATTTAAAATTCAAATTAACGGTTTGCTGGGCGTTTTGGTTTCGATACGCCCCGGTGAGTTAGTACCGCGTGGTTAAAAGATTTTCGAACAGTGCTAGATTTTTTCGTAGTCAATCTACCCATATAATTGGTCGGTTGGAAAATGTTGTGTTTTTACACATTTCCTTTGATCGTTTCCTCCCCTGTCGTCTAAGAGTGTCTAAGATTTTTATGAGAATATGTTTCTTTAAACAGCACAATTAAGGTCTGTTGAAGATTTAATAAGTATTAACATTTTGGCTAATTTAAAAAATCATATGTATGTGTACGTTGAACTCGAATGTATGTTGTCCCATTGAACTCAATTCACAATTTAACCCTAATGCAGACAACGTATTTTTCATAACACTAACAGACAGGGGGGGGGGGGGGGTCAGATGCATTTCAATTGGAAACAGAACAATTCCAGAATTACTTCAATTTGATTGAAATTTTCCAGATATATCATAAACGGGATTTTAAAAAGTCATATTCAATAAGGTAGTTTAGATCAGTAGATCTATCTATCAATGTAACTAACAAAACGTAAGGTACACATGTACAGACGCCACATAATCAAACTGGCTGGAAGCAGACTCCGTAACCACCACAACAATACTTCCATAAAATGAAAAACAAAAAGGATACTTGAACATGTTCGTTAAAGATCATTTGTTACTCATAAAAACCTTAATGAATTTTGAAATGAAATCATTACATTGTTTAATATTACGTATATCTCATGAATTTCAATTACAGGGACAACGTACATTCGAGTTGACAACGCACGTTTCTGATTTTTTTAAATTACAATAAATACTTGAATATTTATTAATCTCCATCCGTCCTAAATTGTGTAGCATAGAGAAACATATTCTCATAAAAATAATCGACACTCTTAGGCAACAGGGGAAAAATGATCAAAGGAAATGTGAAAAACCCAACATTTTCCAACCGATCAATTTTCGTGGGTAGATTGACTACGAATATAATCGAGCACTGTTCGAAAATCTTTTAACGTTATTAGGAAGTTAAATGTCTTCCTAAACGAATACACACGAAATGAAACATGAAATCTTTCAAGTATTCCCAAGATTAATTTTTCAAAACCTAAATCACACCTGCACCATTATCTTTGCTTCAAATCCGTTAAATAGTGAAATCGTACATCTAATGTGTACTACGGTATATTTTGTCACTGTATCTTGTCGATGGTTAGGCGTGACCAATAGCGTACTTAAAGTATTAACATCATAGTTCAGAAAATGGATAACTGCACTTATGGCTATCTAATCATAAACCTGTAAAAGCAATTCTAGTTTACAATTAGTAAGACTAGAAATCATTACTTCTGTAAAAATACTTTTTCTAGCTCAGATTAAGCAATTGATTTTTAGTAAAATGTGTTGATTTAGACTTGCAAAAGAAAATGTTGCTAAGAATATTTGATAAACTCAAATAAAGATGTAATCACGCTCGACATGGCGTGCTTTATTTATAAGAACTCGATGACATGTCAGCGAAACGAACTCTCCAATTATTTTAATTCTAAGATTCCATCCAGAATGTTACAATATTTTTTACTGATTTGAAACTCCCTCTTTAAAATAATTTGCAACAGTCAATAGAAAGTAATGCAAATCAGCAAAAGAAAAGTGCTTTGAAAATGGCTGCATCAAAAATAACCTCATCTATAAACTGAATCCCAAAATAATGCGTTTCGAATTTTTCAACTCTTAGGGAATAGGTTAAAACCGAAAACATTACTTTTGAAATGTCATTACTTTTATTATTCAATTAGTATTACTCTTAAAATGGCATTACTGTCTTTCTCTATATATCTTGATATTTATGCCACTAGTTATATTCAAATCCTTATTGGGTAAATAGCGTTACTTGTTGTTCAAACCTTTTTCTCTGCTATAATCAATAGGGCTAATGGGGATTGAATAATGGAGTGTTAAGAGTAAGAAACACTTTGTAACTATGGGGCTCTATTGCCCTGAAATGCACTCATCTAATTGGCCAACAAAATTAATGGAGTAAAAATCAATTTGATGGTCATTCAATCCAAAGTATTTGATTTTTTTAATAATGAGATATTGTCTTGTAGCTATTATGTGTTTAAAAGATATCCAATTGTCTTTATCACGTTCCGGTTTATTTGCATCGTGTCTTTGTCGGGACAAGTCATTTGCGTTTGGAAAGATACATGTGGTCCGAATATAAAAATAGTAGAAAGGTTGGCATATTTAGCGTTTCAGTGTCTGTTTGTTAGTTTGCTCTAATAGGGTGGAAAATATTGTACACTACTCTTCAAAGGATTGGTAAACGAAAATAAGACGTTCATAGGACAAAGGGTTTGAAAAATTGTTGCAATAATGTAAAAAGTTATGATTTAGGAAGAGAGATGTCCAGATGATGATTGGACAGATTGGAAATGATTTTCAATATATTACTAGTAAGCAGTAAGCATTACGTGCTAAACACAAAGAGTTGCCCTGGACACAAAGTGATCGCCCCTATCTTGTTTTTTACTAAAGATGGAAAAATTGATTAGATGAAACTATAAGTAGAATTACAATTATGAGATCTCGAAAATGCTTTTAGTTGAATTTAGCCATTAAAACAAAGGCACAAAACAAAAGGTAGTACAAATCGAGGCCATTGATATCCAGTGCAGTGGGTGACCAAACTGGAATCTGGTGACGTAGCTCATTTGGCTGATCTTAAAGACAACGCCACACTCAGACCTGGCAGACGTGGAAGGAGCAAATATGATACCGAGTTTATGTTTCAATTTTGCATTTTTAGTGTTTGGAAAAGGTAGGTTAATAATGTTTTTTTTATCTTCTAAATACAATCGTTTAAAGGCCCCGGGAAAAGTTGGCTTACTTGATATAAATTTTGACGACACATTGTAAAGTAGTGTATGCACCTAAAATTAAAACAATTTATAAAGAATTACAACTGAATGATATGCAATATTAAAATATTCTAGCTTGTGATAAGCCATACACCCCCTGGGGTGTCTTTATCATTATTATGTTAATATGTTAATATGATGTTATAAATAAAAAAAAAAGTAAAAAAGTACAGAAAGATTCGAAACGCTTCTACTCAAATATGATCAACATGGTCAACAAGCACCAATTTCCATGTTTTGATTATTTCTCTTAACGGACGGATTTTCTCAAAGGACGACAAAGCGTCGCATGATTATATATGTGACCCTTTATAAACGAGTTTGGAACACAGGGATACCGATATACGTTTTCCCGGTGCGATGGCAAAGAAGCATTTTTGATTTTTCTCGAATAGCCCAGTAGCCTAAACATTTAAACAAATTAAAAAAAACATTTGTGACGAAGTTTGATAATTTGATGTATTTTTGATAAAAACATACATACATAACATTTATGAAAAATAAAAAGTTGGCAATTAAGTCAGATTAAATGTCATTAGATAAAATAAATAAAATTAAAATTGTGACATGCATGATGACTATTGATTATGATAACACCAGCTCTAAATTTATTTATTTTCAGCTTGTTTTGCAAGTGGTCTTCAGCAATCATTTCGTGGTTTAACAGAGGGTCACGCCTACTTCGAAACAAAAATAGGAGTGAAACTTGTCGAACATAAGATTGTTACAGAACACGCGCGTACGAAACAAAGGTGCGCCATAGCTTGCCTCCGTTATGTAAATTGTCTTTCGTTCAACTTCGACTCTGTGAACCACGTATGTGAGCTTTCGGACAGCAATGGGAATATCTCTCCAGGGGAGATAACAAGTACTCCCGGAGGAGGATGGTCTTATTCCCACATATATGGAGATGTTGATGACGATACAACTACTACTGAAACTCCAGTTATAACTACTGAATCAACAACAGAGGCAACGACAATCAAAACTGGTAGGACGGTCAACATTATTTGGAATCAGGGTTCATCCTTGTTAGTATTTGACACACATAAGCGAACGGACGCATTCATCTCAACATTTTTAACACGTTTTAGTTAAATACGTTGTACGATCCCCAATTGAAACACAATGTCTGTTTCGCATATAAATTGTATGTATCATGCCAGTTTTTACTTTATCTCAGAATGTAGTTATAAAATATAGAATGTTTCAGATTGTACGTCTTATGAACGCCATCCAAATCACGCCATGGCATCTCCTGGTAGACAATTTGATTTCTACGGTATAGCCACTGAGGACAGTTGTTTTCAGGTAATTTATATGAACGTTTTATATATTATGTTATATACATTCATAATGCATAAAATTACAACAATTCTTAATACAGTAATAACCCATCACACCTTTAAAAACGCTAGACTCTTGAACTTTTCTAAAACATAAAAATGTTTAAATACTAGTAAAACATATAAAATATGAATAAGATAGTCTCAAGAATACGTTTCATTTATCTAGTTAGGTATAGAATGGTTGATAGGGAGTCTAAGCTTGCAATGTTTTTCACAACCTAAACGTGAACGGAAAATATTTAAGCGATGCATTTGTACGATTAAAATACGTATAGGTTGGCGTTTCGATTTTATATACAAGCTTAAAATCCCTAATAGAATGGCATGGAACCTTCAAACGCATAAGGAATAGTTGAAATTAGAAAAGTTTATGCTCGTTTTTGCAATTTTATCCAAAACTTGACCACATATGAATCTTTCAAATGCGAAATGCACAAAGGCAATAACATTGCGTAAAACAAAATTATTCAAGCATTGAAAGGATCAAATAATTGAAACTGTCGAAACGCGTTTCACAATATTATAATTATAAATGTTTTACTGATTGCTACTACTGTATATTGGAGAATTCTATTTCAGTTGTGTTTGGATGAAACGGGGTTCCGCTGTATAGCAAGTAATTATGAATTTGGGAATAACTACTGCCAGATTGTAGGCTATGATGTAATTGCACAAAATAATTACGATTCACATTCACAAAGAATATGCGGAAGTGGTAAGTTAACTCGAACAATACCTGATAATGCTATATTAGATTTCCTTCACCCGGTTCGAATTATAAATCAAATACCATTGATGGTATTTGAAATACACAACAGATTGTACAACTACATATTCAAGTATGCGATGTGATATCATTCAAGTAAAAACATTAGAGGTAACCAAAAGCTTTGAAAATTATGGCTTGCGTTATTTTAATCTTCGGATAACATTAGCAAATGTTCTGGTTGGTGGAGCTGCCGGGTTACATTACAATATAATAAATACAGCAACTATTAGATTTATGGTCTGTGGATTCTACTTGTTAATCAAGCGTATCGTTTTATTTATAGGTCCAGGATGTTTTGTTGTTCAAAACGACCGAGGATCGCCGTCCGCAAGTAATCAGTATCGAGCACTTGGTGGGTCGTATTTCAACACATACCAACAAGCCGCAGAATATTGTCAGGGATTGTGTGTTTCCGAAGAATGGTGTTTAGTGTCTGATGTGCGATCCAATGCATGCTATTTGTTCATGTCGAGTCCACAGTCTAATAGCATTAAGCATGTCCGTGTAAGAAAATGCTGGTAGGATGGGATGGAGACTTAAGGAAAGACGAATTGCACAGCACTAAATGTTCTTGTTTAAAGTGATCGAGGCCAGTTTCAGATCCTCTTTACATATTGAAGGAAAGGAGGGGGGACTCCACCGAATACTATAATTTTTATTATGTTGCTTTTAGTTAAACCCCATTTTCCAAGTAGTTTTCTAACGGGTACTTTGAAAATCCGTGCGTACACGTATGAGACCTCCAGGTAGTGTATGGACTGTATGGGTCAACGTGCGGGATAGATAGATACGATAAGAAATGTAAAGTTAATAATATATCCTGTACCTGTAGAAAGTATGTCATTCTTTTGATACTTGTTTGTTCAACTACCGAATGGTTATGTTCTGTCCAAAAAAACACAATCTTTCTATAAATATAATTTATTTCTGAACGTTTATTTTCTCACTGGCTGACATTTTAATTATTTAAATCCTTAATGGGTCTGAAGTAGGACTTGTAAAATAACTTTTTAGCCAACTCTATATGAAAGTGGCAAGCCCAAATGAGAGAAGACACTTAACTCTGCCCACCTCAAAGGAAGGAATTCACCATATAAATTCTTAATTTATCTCATATATGCAGATATGTCCACTTTTATTTCATAAGTTCTATGGGTAATTTTATCAAGAGACATGTAGACACATGTAAGTATTATCATGATACGAGTACATTATATATATAGCAAATCTATAGAACACTAATTTGGCGAAGTACACTTTAACGTTATCATTATTTTCATGCTATGAAATGGAAAAAATACTGTATTGTTCAAAGCAGGGTGGCAAATTTTTGTGTACATTAAACCCCAGGAAAATATCACCGGTAGACATTTTAATAAAGTGTCAATATTAATACTGATTTTAACGGTCCCTACATTTTTTAATTGGCAACAGTGTTTATTTTCTAAAGATAGCAAGACTGAAAAGGCTCACCTAGAAAAAGGTATGACTAGTGGACATCATGAGGTTATAATTTCTATAAGGCATATAGCTATTACAAAAAATATCACTTAGACATAGGCTTGTATTTCATAACATATTGATTGAATTGTAATATATACATATTGTATTCAGTATTGCATTTAAGATTCATATGAAATAAAATAAGCTTAAAACACTTTGCATGAATTAGTTTTGCCTCTGTGTAACATATCTAGAGCAGGTAATGTATAATTTCGATGCCGATTGCGTTACTTTTTTTGAATCTAATGTTTTGACAAATATTATGTAAATCTACGAGCTCTACGGAGTGCGTGTAAATGAAATATATACTTGTTGTGTAGCTTTCATCCATTTCACACATTTGAAGATGGAGCAACTAAAACCTTAGGAATCAAAATGGCCTTTATATTTTACAGGGGGAGTTGACTGCGGGCGAAAAGTAACAAAGAATATCAAAACTCTTAGTTTTGAGCGAGCAGCTTCGCAATGGATCCACAAGATGTCAGCTAAGGACCAGGGTAAACCAACTGAAAATGTGAACATAGCGATAGAAGCTGTTGGTAAACAAATGTTGGACGTAGCTCGTGCTAATCCATCAGCCCCGCAAGATAGCAGGAGCGTTGCATCATCTGGGGGACAGAAGTTTACTCGTGCAATGAAGAAGAAATACGCCGATTTAGCAATGAGTGATTTACCAGTAGGGGATATCAACAGAGGGCATAAACCTGGTGGTGCAAGGCACAATCATGGAAGAATGATCCTCAGCCCAGATCCGAACTTAGATGAACACAATTAGATATTGATCCGATCATCAGACGCCTAATGTCTCTATTATATATGTCCATCAAACCATAGAACATAATATATAAGTGGCTCATTTTATAAATTTTATAGATCCCTGCTTTCATGAAAAGCATCCTCGATCTGTTAGACATACCATACATTGTCGACTCCCTTGGTCAATATGATATTTTTCTTGGTCAATATCATATTTTTTATGAAATAAAATTCATATTCCATCCCTCCCATTAAATAACCTCTACATATTCATTAGCTTTAGATCAGTATCAGTCTTCAAATAGATTCAAGTTCATCATGTATACTTTGATCGGGAGCAATCACAAAAACACAAGAATCTTATAAGTTCATTTTATTCATCCTAGCTTCAAAGCTAAACTCGTGATTAACCATACATTTTACATCATAGTTCAGAAAATGGATAACTGCACTTATGGCTATCTACTGTAATCATAAACCTGTTAAAGCAATTCTAGTTTACAATTAGTACTAGAAATCATTACCTCTGTAAAAATACTTTTTCTAGCTCAGATTAAGCAATTGATTTTTAGTAAAATGTGTTGATTTAGACTTGCAAAAGAAAATGTTTCTAAGAATATTTAATAAACTTAAATAAAGATGTAATCACGCTCGGCATGGCGTGCTTTATTTATAAGAACTCGATGACATGTCAGCGAAACGAACTTTTCTCTCCAATTATTTTAATTCTAAGATTCCCTCCAGAATGTTTCAATATTTTCTACTGATTTGAAACTCCCTCTTTAAAATAATTTGCGACACTCAATAGAAAGTAATGTAAATCAGCAAAAGAAAAGTGCTTTGAAAATGGCTGCATCAAAAAATAACCTCATCTGTAAACTGAATCCAAAAATAATGCGTTTCGAATTTTTCAACTCTTAGGGAATAGGTTAAAACCGAAAACATTACTTTTGAAATGTCATTACTTTTATTATTCAATTAGTATTACTCTTAAAATGGCACTACTGTCTTTCTCTATATATCTTGATATTTATGCCACTAGTTATATTCAAATCCTTATTGGGTAAATAGCGTTACTTGTTGTTCAACCCTTTTCTCTGCTATAATCAATAGGATGGGGATTGAATAATGGAGTGTTAAGAGTAAGAAACACTTTGTAACTATGGGGCTCTATTGCCTTGAAATGCACTCATCTAATTGGCCAACAAAATTAATGGAGTAAAAATCAATTTGATGGTCATTCAATCCAAAGTATTTGATTTTTTTAATAATGAGATATTGTCTTGTAGCTATTATGTGTTTAAAAGATATCCAATTGTCTTTACCACGTTCCGGTTTATTTGCATCGTGTCTTTGTTGGGACAAGTCATTTGCGTTTGGAAAGATACATGTGGTCCGAATATAAAAATAGTAGAAAGGTGTCATATTTAGCGTTTCAGTGTCTGTTTGTTAGTTTGCTCTAATAGGGTGGAGAATACTGTACACTACTCAAGGTCTAAAGGATTGGTAAACGAAACAAAGTATCAAGACGGGAAGCGGTACGCAAGAGGCCTGATAATATTCTCCGTTTAGATGAACGTTTACATAATCCGAGTTGCTCTAAGCACAAAGTGATCGCCCCTATCTTGTTTTTTACTAAAGATGGAAAAATTGATAAGATGATACTATAAGTAGAATTACAATTATGAGATCTCGAAAATGCTTTTAGTTGAATTTAGCCATTAAAACACATTAGAGGCACAAAACAAAAGGTAGTACAAATCGATATCCAGTGAAGATCAAACTTGGAGATCAAACTGGAATCTGGTGACGTAGCTCATTTGGCTGATCCTAAAGACACCACACTCAGACCTGGCAGACGTGGAATGAGCAAATATGATACTGAATTTATGTTTCAATTTTGCATTTTTGGTGTTTGGAAAAGGTAGGTTTATAATCATAATGTTATATTTTTTCTCCTGAATACAATCGTTTATAGGCCCCGGGAAAAGTTGGCTTACTTGACTTATATTTTGACGACACATTGTAAATTCTATATAATGCACCTAAAATTAAAACAATTTATAAAGAATTACAACGTAATGATGCAATTTTTCAAATATTCTAGCTTGTGATAAGCCATACACCCCCTGGGGTGTCTTAATCATTATTATGTCAATATGTTAATATGATTTTATAAATGAAAAAAGTAAAAAAAAGTACAGAAACATTCGAAACACTTCTACTTAAATATGATCAACATGGTCAACAAGCACCAATTTCCATGTTTTGATTATTTCTCTTAGTGTTTTAATAAATTTTCTCAAAGGACGACAAAGCGTCGCAAGATTATGCTGTATATGTGACAATTTATAAACGAGTTTGGGACACTGAGATATACGTTTTCCCGGTGCGATGGCAAAGAAGCATTTTTGATTTTTCTCGAATAGCCCAGTAGTCTAAACATTTCAAAGGAAACGGAGCGAAATAAAAAAAAGCAATTGTGACGAAGTTTGATAATTTGATATGTATTTTTTAATAAAACATACATTCATAACATTTATGAAAAATAAAAAGTTGGAAAACTAAGTCAGATTAAATGTCATTAGATGGAATAAATAAAATTAAAATTATGACATGCATGATGACTATTGATTATGATAACACCAGCTCTCAATTTATTTATTTTCAGCCTGTTTTGCAAGTGGTCTTCAGCAATCATTTCGTGGTTTAACAGAGGGTCACACCTACTTCGAAACAAAAATAGGAGTGAAACTTGTCGAACATAAGATTGTTACGGAACACGCGCGTACGAAACAAAGGTGCGCCATAGCTTGCCTTCGTTATGTAAATTGTCTTTCGTTCAACTTCGACTCTGTGAACCACGTATGTGAGCTTTCGGACAGCAATCGATATATCTCTCCAGGGGAGATGACAAGTACTCCCGGAGGAGGATGGTCTTATTCCCACATATATGGAGATGTTGATAAAGATACAACTACTACTTAAACTCCAGTTATAACTACTGAATCAACAACAGAGGCAACAACAGAGACAACAACAATCAAAACTGGTAGGACGGTCAACATTATTTGGAATCAGGGTTTACCTTTGTTAGTATTTGACTCGCAAAGGCGAACGGACGCAATCATTTCAACATTTTTAACATAGTGAAATACGTTACGATCCCCAATTAAAACACAATGTCTGTTTCGCATGTAAATTGTATGTATCATACCAGTTTTTTCTTTATCTCAGAATGTAGTTATATAATATAGAATGTTTCAGATTGTACGTCTTATGAACGCCATCCAAATCACGACGTGGCATCTCCTGGTAGACAATTTGATTTCTTCGGTATAGCCACTGAGGAAAGTTGTTTTCAGGTAATTTATATGAACGTTTTTCATATTTTTATGTTATATAGCATATTCATAAGGCATAAAATTACAACAATTCTTAATAACCAATCACACCTTTAAAAAGGCTAGACTCTTGAACTTTTCTAAAACATAAAAACGTATAAATAAAACATATAAATATGGATAAGATAGTCTGAAGTATACGTTCCATTTATCTAGTTAGGCATGCCCGTAGCCATGTTTTGGTTAGGGGGGGGGGGGGCGGGGCTCGAACCACTCCCATCCACACACAAACATTTTTTCATGCTTAACCAACTTCGCATTGTGAGCACAAGGGTGTTATTAACAAGACCCCAGGTGGGGCCACGAAAACAAGGGAGGGGACCCAAAAATTTCCGCGCTTGCACAGAAGAAAATAAGGGCCCAAATTTTGAAAAATGCTGGAGCAATTCCCTCATGGGGTTAAAATGACTAGTTAGTTGATTTAGACGGAACAAAATTTGAGCCAAATTATCATGGCCTGTAAAATAATAGCTTGTGAGTGATGTAGCCAGAGGAAAATTTAGGAGTTTTGGGCTGATTTAGTTCGTTCTGAGCGATTCTAGGATCAAAATATATGATTTACGTATTTCCCAAAAATTTAATTTTTAGGTTTATTTGGCGCATTCTGGGCAATTCTGGAGCATTCTGAGCGATTCTAGGATCAAAATATATTATTCGAGTATTTAAAAAAACTGAAGTTTTTAGTTTTTTTTAGCGCATTCTGGGCGATTCTGATGCGTTCTGATCGTTCTAGGGATCAAAATATTTGATTTACGTATTAAAAGTCGAATTGTTTGGCTTATTTGACCCGTTCTGAGCGATTCTAGGATCAAAATATATGATTTATTAAAAAATCAGGGGCATGCTCCCCTGAAAAAGTTAAGATTTTTCGGCTGATTTAGTGCGTTCTGGGCAATTCGAGGATCAAAATATATGATTCATGTATTTTTATAAAAATTGAATATTTAGGCTTATTTGGCACCTTCTGAGCGATTAAAGGATCAAAATATATGATTTAGTTTCCGAATCATTTAGTTGCCTCGCTATTCTAGTCAATTTAGAATTTTATAAAAAGAAAGCGTCAATCACATCAAAATACACCGTACGTATGTCACCAAATGTTACCTTCTACCTCGAAATGTCAGAAAATTCTTCAAGAAAGCAAAAAAGGTAGGTCCACATTATTTTAGGACATATCTGTGGGAGGGGGGGGGGCTCGCACGAGCCCCCCTGGCTACGGGCCTGTTAGGTATAGAATGGTTGATAGGGAGTTTAAGCTTGCAATGTTTTCACAACCTAAATGTGAACGGAAAAAATTTAAGCTATGTATTTGTACGATTAAAATACGTATAGGTTGGCGTTTCAATTTCATATGCAAGCTTAAACTCCCTAATAGAATGGTATGGAATCTTCAAACGCATAGGGAATAGTTGAAATTAGAAAAGTTTATGCTCGTTTTGCAATTTTGTCCAAAACTTGACCACATATGAATCTTTCAAATGCGAAATGCACAGAGGCAATAACATTGCATAAAACAGCATTAAAAGGATCAAATAATTGAAACTGTCGAAACGCGTTTCACAATATTATAATTTTAAATGTTTTACTGCATTGCTACTATAAGTTATTGAATGATTTGAAGTGCAATACAGGATATATTCTGCTCGAGAAATTCCGTATTGGAACGAGACGAATTCGAGTGCCAATACAGAATATCGAGACAGAATATATCCTGTATTGCACTTCAAATCATCCAATAACGTTTTTATCCACTGGTGATCCCCTCGATTTCGCTGGGTTACCGAAACGGTTCGTTTTGGAAACAAAATGTCGGAACATCGGAGGTACGATTTTTCTAGTTTCCTTATTTCACACGTTGTAGGCAGAATTCCCACATTTTTTAACACAAACGTGTATCAGTATAATATGTTTAAGAAATTGTACATATTTGCGAACAAATAGTTCAGAAGACAACAGAATCGTCGATTTGATTCCTCACTTAAGTTACATAAACGGTTTTTCGAAAAGCAGTTAAGATCTGCACTTTTAACCCAAACCGTTTATGTAACTTAAGTGAGGAATTAAATCGACGATTCTGTTGTCTTCTGAGCTATTTTTTCGCCAACATGTACATTTTCTAAAACATATGATGCTGATACACGTTTGTGAAAATGTTCCGACATTTTGTTACCAAAACGAACCGTTTCGGTAACCCAGCGAAATCGAGGGGATCACCAGTGGATAAAAACGTTATTGGATGATTTGAAGTGCAATACAGGATATATTCTGTCTCGATATTCTGTATTGGCACTCGAATTCGTCTCGTTCCAATACGGAATTTCTCGAGCAGAATATATCCTGTATTGCACTTCAAATCATTCAATAACTTATAGTAGCAATGCAGTAAAACATTTAAAATTATAATATTGTGAAACGCGTTTCGACAGTTTCAATTATTTGATCCTTTTAATGCTGTTTTATGCAATGTTATTGCCTCTGTGCATTTCGCATTTGAAAGATTCATAATTCGTAATCGAGCGGATCACCAGTGTTACCGTGTGATCCTCCGTATTGCTACTGAGATTGTCCCCTCCGTACCAATATTTTCTGTATTGCGACGGAGATGATCAACGGGGACAATCTCAGTAGCAATAAAGATTGGTACAGCACAAGAACTGACCAATCAGAAGGCTTCATTTTACAGATCATACGATAATACTTATTGGAGAATTCTATTTCAGTTGTGTTTGGATGAAACGGGGTTCCGATGTATTGCAAGTAATTATGAATTTGGGAATAACAACTGCCAGATTGTAGGCTATGAAGTAATTGCACAAAATGTTTACGATTCACATTCACAAAGAATATGCGGAAGTGGTAAGTTAACTCGAACAATACCTCGTAATGCTATATTAGATGTTCCTTCACCCGGTTTGGATTATAAATCAAGTACCATTGATGGTATTTGAAATACACAACGGATTGTACAACTACATATTCAAGTATGCGATTGCGAAGTGACATCATTCAATGTTGCATTATTTTAGTCTTCGGATAACATTAGCAAATGTTCCTGTTGGTGGAGCTGCCGGGTTACATTACAATATAATCAATACAGCAAATATTAGATTTATGGTCTGTGGATTCTACTTGTAAATCAAGCGTATCGTTTTATTTATTTTTATTTATAGGTCCAGGATGTTTTGTTGTTCAAGAAGACCAAGGATCGCCGTCCGCAAGTACTCAGTATCGAGCACTTGATGGGTTGTATTTTAACACATACAAACAAGCCACAGAATATTGTCAGGGATTGTGTGTTTCCGAAGAATGGTGTTTAGTGTCTGATGTGCGATCCAATGCATGCTTTTTGTTCATTTCGACTCCACAGTCTAATAGCAATAAGCATGTCCGTGTAAGAAAATGCTGGTAGGATGGGATGAAGACTTAAGGAAAGGCGAATTGCACAGCACTAAATGTTCTTGTTTAAAGTGATGGAAACCAGTTTCAGATCCTCTTTACATATTGAAGGAAAGGAAGGGGACTCCACCGAATACTATAATTATTATTATGTTGCTTTTAGTTAAAGCTCATTTTCCAAGTAGTTTTCCAACGGGTACTTTGAAAATCCGTGCGTACACGTATGAGACCTGCAGGTGGTGTATGCACTGTACCGGTAAACGTGCGGGATAGATAGATACGATAAGAAATGTAAAGTTAATAGTATATCCTTAAACCTGTAGAAAGTATGTCATTCTTTTCATCCTTGTTTGTTCAACTACCAAATGGTTATGTTCTGTACAAAAACACAATCTTTCTATAAATATAATTTATTTCTGAACGTTTATTTTCTCACTGGCTGACATTTTAATTATTTAAATCCTTTAATGGGTCTGAAGTAGGACTTCAAATAACTTTTTAGCCAACTCTATATGAAAGTGGCAAGCCCAAATGAGAGAAGACACTTAACTCTGCCCACCTCCAAGGAAGGAATTCACCATATAAATTCTTAATTTATCTCATATATGCAGATATGTCCACTTTTATTTCCTAAGTTCTATGGGTAATTTTATCAAGAGACATGTAGACACATAAACTTTTATAATGTCTGGTTTATTCAACTCAATGTTTCCTTGGCACTATAGTACATGTAAGTATTATCATGATACGAGTACATATATATATATATAGCAAATCTATAGAACACTAATTTGGCGAATTACACTTTAACGTCATCATTATTTTTATGCTATGAAATGGAAAAAATACTGTATTGTTCAAAGCAGGGTGGCAAATTTTGGTGTACATTAAACCCCAGGAAAATATCACCGGTAGACATTTTAATAAAGTGTCAATATTAATACTGATTTTAACGGTCCCTACATTTTTTAATTGGCAACAGTGTTTATTTTTTAAAGATAGCAAGACTGAAAAGGCTCACCTAGAAAAAGGTATGACTAGTGGACATCATGAGGTTATAATTTCTATAGGGCATTTAGGCTATTGCAAAAAATATCACTTAGACATAGGCTTGTATTTCATAACATATTGATTGAATTGTAATATATACTGTACATATTGTATTCAGTATTGCATTTAAGATTGATATGAAATAAAATAAGCTTAAAAACTTTGCTTTTTATTAGGCTAGATATTCCCTTGGAAATACTTTCTAGTCTCTCTCAATCAGTAAAATAAAGTCACGAGACCGTCAAAATCAAGTCAAATAAGGAAGACTAAAGTTTGTGGCCATTAGACAGGCTGACAGAGTTGGACCTTGAAATTTACATGAGGCCCATTTATTAAAACAATAGTGCACATAATTTAGTCCCTAATATGACAATCTCTCTCATCTACAAGTGCTATCATTGGCGACATGCAAAATTATGTGTACATGTATTTAGTTGACCATGATCTATATTGTGAGGATAATGTTTGAAGAAAAGTCATGTAAGGCCACAAAGGGAATAATGGATATTTTTCTGATTTCATTTTCAATTCAATTTCAACATCAATTGCACATATCACGAAGGTGGAAGTAGCTTCTCTATAAAAGCTTCAATGAGGTCATCTTCTGTAACTCCTACAAATTGTGACTTCTTCTCTCCCTTAACCATACCTATCACTGTCGGTACAGAGCTAATCTGAAACAGAAAATTATTTTGATTAATCATATTCACAGCATGGTTAACAGTTTGCTCTAAAGTACACATAACTTCCAATGTTTTTAGGAAAGGAATGAATAGGAATAAAATCATTAATATATAGCAATGTGCATATAGATCATTGGATAGCAGAACAAAAATGTCATGAAAAGCAGACACACAAATATGCTATTAACTTGGAATATTGAATGAGTACCCCTAATATCATAAGAATGTATGATCACAGAATAAACCAATCGTCAATCCCATTTTCAGCATTACAGAAGAACTAAAAAGGCTCTGCACTCACTACAATCAAGGTACCTGTATCTGCCTATAACTTTGCTATCAGATAGTAAGTTTAAAGTGTCATTCCTTGCCAGACCATTTCTCTGCTGATATGATAGCTATAAGCACAACAAAATAACCAAATAAAACTCACCCCAAATTTTATTGCTAAGTCTTGATGTTCGTCTATGTCGACCTTGGCCAGTTCAACCCTACCCTTGTATCCTGCTACAATGGTTTCCAGCCTTGGGCCAAGGATCTTACAGGGACCACACCAGCTGAAATGGAAACCATAATTGTTCAAAAGCTGCATCCAATCCAAAATGTCCACACATATACTTAATTTCATGCCTTCTGAGGAGCTGACCTGCACATTTATGTTTTCCTAGCACAAGTTTTGGAAGTTGAAGTTAGGGTCAAGTTTGAATCGTTGTCCGGTATTCCACCACAAAAACTGAACATACCATTTGAAAGTACTAATTTTGACACCATTTGATAGCATGTATGTGTATCCATAGGTTTTAGGCCAATATAAAGATGGCAGCAGTAGTAGAATTCTAAGAATGACAAGTTGAAAGTACAGCTTACTTATCTATCTGCTAATGTTTGAATTAATATTCTTTCTGCAACCTTGGTAGATCAGGTTGGTCACTTGGAACAGTAAAGGGAAAAATTTGAAAATAGATTATCATCTGGAGTCTATTGTTTTTGCCTCTTTTCTTATTCTTATTCATTCTTTCTTTTTCTTTTTCTTCTTATTTTACTGGTCACGTTTTCTCAAAAACTATAAGGTATTCAACAAAGACTATTACATGGTTAATTAAGGTATAGTATCTAGTTGATAAGAAATGGGGTCAAATTTTTATCTAAGTCAAAGGTCAAGAAATGATTAAGAGGGCCAAGATCTTGAGTCAAGATCTTTGTCATTTTCTTTGTTTTCACAATAACCGCACTATACTTTCATATTTTTCTTTGAATTTGTGTGTACTTATAGACAAGAATAGGCTTATAGTCTAAGTTTTTGCTGTCATAAGGTATCTAAAACCAGTTTTGAGAATATAAAATAATAGGAAATTATCTCAGGATTCTGAATCTGCAATAGGAATCAAAATTTGACTTCCCGTTCAGATTCTACGCCATTTTGAAATTTTGAAAAAATCTAGATAATGTGTCCTTTATTGAGTAATATCTCTCTATCCTGTCCTATACGTCTGTTCTGTCCTGTCTGTCTTTCTGTCCGTTTATCTGTGTATCTGTCTGTCATCTGGAGTCTGAAATTGAACTTGTTCAATTTCCAATTTCCAGTTACTTTAATTATTGTTGAACTAAGGTTTTTCTGAAGACCTCATATTTTGCCCTTCTAGTAGTGCTTTCTGAGTTCTGACCAGCTAAGAGTTTAAGCCAACTTGATTATCAAAAATGTCAAACCTTGCAGTGAAATCAACTAGGACAGGTTTATCATTTTCAAGTACTCGGTCTTTGAAATCTTTCTCATCTTGGACATTGAACGTCAGCCATCTTTGTTGTGCTGCAAACAGTGGATTTGTACCAAACATTTGTGGGGTTTTCCGCAAACAACGAACTCCACTCAATAATCTATGGACAGCAGCTTGTGACATCTTAGTCTGAAATGTTTCCAGTCATAATAATACCTAGCTCTACAAGTAGAACTCAATGTACTGCCTTCTTTATCATTTTGATCTTAGAAAGCCGTACATTGATAGGGCCATAAGATATGTCAGATAAGAATTGAGACCCCAGACTAGGTTTAATGTTGTTGAACTAAATAATAACATGGGTCTTATAAGTACCACATAGCATTTTTATGACCAGGATCACAATGTAGATGGTCAGAATGACCCTAAACATGATGAAATCACTTTTCAGCCCTCTGAAAATGTGACTGAAAATAGCTAAAAGTAGGAGCTTAGGAAAGCTCAGTGGGCAGAATTATTTGAATTTTTCAGAAAATGTGCAAAAAAATTCAAAAAATTTTGCTCACTACTTTCAGCTATTTTTCAGTCACATTTTCAGAAGGCTGAAAATGTTATTTCATCACGTTTAGGGTCATTCTGACCATCTACATTGTGATCCTGGTCATGTAAATGATATTTGGAACAGTCTACAGTCAAACTGACTGGAGGTCAAAAGAGAACTATGTTATCTTGGTTAAAAAAATATTCAAAATCCTGCATGGCTTTGTCACTGTTCTGCACATACAGTGTAATGATTATCCACATTTGGCATAATTTTGAGCATATACATTTTTCAGGTCCTCATGTGCTTCCTGGGTAATAAGAGTGTGAGGCTCCTGGAAATACATGAATTAAGCTCTGTATTCATGTATTTCCAGGAGCCTCACACTCTTACAAGTATTATCCAGGGAGTACCTGTGTTCGGGTATGAAAATAGTTGCCATATTCTATGGCCACTGAGTGAGAATTGGCTAGAGACTCGAGTTTACAAGAAAATAGTTTTACTTTTTTCATGGCCTGAACACAGATGCCCTGGGTTATACAAGGGCCAATCAAAAAGTTTCTTACCGTTGGCTCTAGATTTTATAATAAGAGCTGTTGGATGCTCAAACTTTCACATGAATTTCAATGTAGGCCTAGTCTAGGCTTACTCGAGTCTCTAGCCAATACTTGGCTAGAGGTGATTTCATCTGGAATACTGTGAACTCCATTTGAAAAAGCTGGCCGCCGTGTCATAAATTTATTGAATATTTTAAAAATCAATAGATAAATAAATCTGAATTAATTAATTAAAACGGAACCGGCTCGGCTCCTTGATGAGATATGACATGATTTCATCAGGATTTCGTCTAAAATTAAAACAAAATGGCTCCAAGAAAAACGGCGATATTCGAAAACTGGACGAAATGTCGTTAACGTCTGACATTAGTAACTGGCTGTAAATTCTAAGTTAGCGATCCAGAAGATGTGAACTAATACACTGATCACTTTATGTGTGTTTTGGAATTTTTGGTGAAAAAACTCGCAATTCAGATTGTGATGTGGAAAAATGGCGGACATATGATTTCAAATTTTATGATTACGACATGACCAGTTGTTCATGCAGGAATATATCTTTAATGGAAGGCCACGATACAGTGGCCTTAGAAGAAGGTAAGTCTAGGCCTAATTGAAATGATGAAATGTATTACTAATACACGTAGATCTAAGGTTCCATCAGTTCATTACTTCATTTCAATTAGACTAGGTCTACATTGAAATTCATGTGAAATTTTTCAATGAATTTTATTTTGCAATAATTTTTGGTTTCAACTTTTCTGTGAAACTACCTTGACGATATGTAACATGACCGATAAGGAGTGGCAAAACTCTTTATGGATACGTGACATATTCTTGGATACATATTATTTTTGTACAGTTACTTATATCCCGTATATTTTATAAGAAATACTTACTTTCGATGAATTTATTGGGTGGGCGATAATAACCTACTGCGAAATACGTCATGGATTTTGGGGTTTACGATGTCATCAATTTATGTGTAGTTGCTTAGTAACATTGTATACAACATGGTGGACAACTGAACAGGTGCGTGTTTTTATCTGCTATCTATGATTTATTATTTCCATCAACGATTTTCAAATTATCAAGATAAACTTAATGCTAACGAATACAAGACGCATTCAGAATAACAGCGTTCACTGTCATCATTCTTATTTACCGTCAGCATTGAAGTTCCAAAGGCAAATAGACACTAAAAAAACTAGTCTAGCCTATTAATCCCAAAATATAAAATTTACCAATTCACTGCCCCAGTATTAGTCTATTGAAATGAAGTATAAACATGTGTATATTAAAGGATGTATATAGCTATCCAGGCCTTAGAAAACGTTAAAAACCACAGTCAGAGAGAATGTTTCTGGCGAAAGGAGCTTCTGGGATTTTAAATTTATGAAGTTGGGAAACCGGAAGGGCTTACCTTTTTTAATTCCCGAATCTCACCGAATCTCTCCGAAATTAGCTCATCTTGGTGACTGTAAATTGCACAGCTGTATTCAATGGAGTCTTGTCAATTTCAATCAGCCTCAATTTTAAAGTGTATATTTTATTTTCAACGTGATTTCATCGTTTTTTGTCGACTGGTAAGAATACGCTGGGCAAATGGCAAGATGGATGACTTTTGACCTGACCTACACCAATGGCGGTGACGTCATCAATTTTATCTATACAAATTCTATTTGGTCACGTGACCTTGTGCCAGAAGTCCGACTTTTTGGTCAGTCTACCTGTTCAAAGTACATTTAGTAATAATTATCGCTTTTCAGAACAATTTAGGAAACAATATTTTCTATCTACGTCGTTTACAAAGCATCTAAGGTACGTAAATTTATATGAATAACTGAGTCAATAGGGATAAATAGCCCAACGAGAGTCGGCGGTCTTAAAAATACTTGGATCTGGATGCCAGTCCTGGTATAGATATAGTTCCAGGGCAGTTCGAAGAACGTATTAGATGTCCGTGTTAAAAACGACTTTTTGAGGATTATCATCAATTCCTTTTCAATAATGTCAAAGTGCTCTTATAACGAAAGTGAAAGTGTTTGGCCGTTGTCAGGAATCCCATAAAACAAATGTCACAATGAATGTCTCCATAGCATCCATTGATGACGTAATATTTGTAGCTCGCTCTTGTGGAAATCCAACGTAGTGTGACGTCATTTCCGTAACAACGCTACATTTGGAGAAACACCCCAACTCTAAGTGGAATCCTCAAATTATTTTACATTTATATACAAAATGAACCCTAACTAGGCTATAATAAGCTTTCTATCATTACAATCGATTGCCATATTATATTAAATGATACAAATTGTTGAGATTTACAAATTTTTGATCAGGTAAACAAATATTACCTAATGAAGATGTATGAATACATTGAATATTTAAATCTCAACATTTTGTTTTGTTTTTAACACTTATTAACATATTACATATTAAATGATAATAAAAATGCATTATATGTTTTCAAGAATAAAAATTGCCAAAAGTAGGGGTCATTGTAAAAGCTCCCACTCCGTCAATATTTTATCAATTTTTGTTTTCTTCACATGTATATGAAATATGAGTATTCACTCAAAATGTTTAAATAGAGATCAATATGATATGATACACAGCAACATGCTGTATTAAGGCTTTGAAAAGGTGTGAAAATCACTTGATAGTTATAACAACCTTTAAGCTAAGGCCTACACTATACAGTATGTAGTAACATTGACAGTTGCAACTCTATTAGCTTATAGATCTACTTGTACAGTGTTATAATTCACATCACATAACATTTATTCCAAAAAATAGATCAAAAGACTGTAAAATAATTTATAATTGATGTTTGTTAATATATAGGTTGAAGGATAAAGGTGCAAGTAGATTTGGGTTCTGAAAAGCTGTTCTAACCATGGCAGCAACAGTGACCTCTCCCAGAACAGCTTCTACTGGCCGGGTGAGGAATATGGCTGACTTCCGCGCCAAACGGACCGAGGCTATGCCCAAAAACAGCTTATTTGGCTCAATCTTAGAGCATCGATCCAAACAAGAGTTGGAAGATGCCAAAAATATTGATCTCAATGCTGTTCAGTTTGATGATTATAAGCCAACTAAAAGACCACCAAAGCAGTGGACTGTTCCAGAACATATTAAAGTTAATCATCGATTTGCAGGTAATTCAGATATTTAGAGCAAGTGTGTGGTAGAACCACTATAATAGTGGACGTGAATAGTTAGAAAGACACTGGTACAAAATGAAATTTTGACCAATAGATATAAAATTTTTGTGAATTACCCTATACCAATACCCTATTATTTGTATACGCTTTATTTGATCAACCTGTAAAGAATGTGGAATGCTTTTCAAAGTCCTACAACTTATTGACTTATTGTTAAATGAAACTCCATACGTGGAACACCTCCTAAGTGGAACATTTTTCGCATTGAGACCCACTCAATAACTAAACATTCAGTTTAAAGTCAATGTGCATTATAAAAAAGGATAATGGTGTCCTCTGTGATATTTAGAATCTTTATTGATGTGGCTCCAAATCCTTTTGAAATCATTTTCCTTATCAAATTTACTTATTATTTGATTTTGTAAAATGAAATTTATCCAATTCATGGTCCCTGCGTCACATTTGGAGAACCTCCAGTTGAGACTAAAAATATGATATTCTACATTTCTTTACCACTGCGAAATTAATCTTGGATACTTTGTTACAGGAGATGAGTCATTTCAAACTGAAAAGGCTAAGCTAGAAAAGCAGCTCAAACAGGCTGGAGACGCAACTAAACAGCTAGACAAACTAGGTGTGGAATCCCTATATTTCAGAGCTCCAAATGCTAATGTTACTGCTGGAGAGACTCACATTCCTGAGACTCCTCAACCAAGCCAGTGGTACAACGAAACACATGTTAACAATGCTGAGAAGATCAATATTGTAGGACTTAAAGACACAAAGGGATTTGATTACCAGAAGTCTAAAGAAAAGCCACCTGTCCATCAATACTCTATAATTGGTGATCCTTTAAGACTTGGCATGGAGTTCAATGATAAAGAACAAACTTCCTATAAAAGTCACATGTTTCCGCTTGATGTAAAATCATATGGAAATAAACCACAGATGGGACGCAGGGCAAAGTTTCCAATAGGAAATGGGTCTAATGGAATTTCTGATGTCCCACTAAATATACAACATAAATTTGGTACCAAAATCTGCCGAAGTGCCCTTTCAGATTTAGACAAAGTGCAAGAAAGTTTAAGAGCCACTGAAGAAGTGAAGAACAGCATTCATCGTAAACCACGACGTCGGTCACAAACAGTGCCTTTAAGTCCTAGTTTACTCAATCCTAAGTATGATCAAATAAGCAATGGACTAAGATACAATGTTTTCCCTGGTTATAACTTCACCACAAAGAGTGGTGTTACACATGAGGTTCACAACATGGACCCACATGAGAGGAGATACAAAGACCCAGATGAGTGGAGACATACACAGGATGAGCTAGGTGAGTACATATGTCCATCAACAATAATTTTCTTCATTCTCAGTCAAACTTTTTTAATTATCCAACAGGAGGTTAATATGGAAATTATCCACACACTATGGAGTAAATGGTTCAAATTAATGCATTGCTATATTTTCTTTACTGGTTTTTCAGTTTAAATGAAAACCATTACTCATTCTATTCTAATATTGCTCTGTCTTATCTTAGTATTGATGTTCTTTATAGATTTGATGATATCATAAAAATAATTTTCTTTTATACATTTGTTTACTGAATTATTAGTATGTTTTAGGTTTTTGTGGTGAACCTGTTGAAATCCATATGAAGGATTGAAGGAGTTTCTTGTTATCAGTTCACATGTATGGTTGAGGGATATTAACATAATTTATTTTTAATTTAAGGTTATTGGGCTGAGCACAACATTCTAAGGCAGCGTATGAAGAAAGCATGGAACATTTATCTTGAAGAGACATTGAAGCCTAAACAAGCAGTATAACCATGGGCTCTCTTGAATGCCCTTGGTGTATAAATTATGAGGACTTAAATGAAATCCACTCCATTGACAAATGAGTGATGCACGAAAGCTTTACTGTTTCTTTAAGTTATGAGTTACTGCTTTCAGATTGAGCAAACAGGTTGATATGAATATGTCACTTAATTCTTTCACAATTCTCTCAAAATGTGCTTAGGGAAATAAGGTAGGGAGAGGCGGGTAAAATACACAATGGCTTTATTCATTGCAAAATTCAAACAAACCTGTTTTCTCATTTATCTGTCCCTATCATATGTGAAATGCATGGCTTTATAAAGTTGCACACAAACCAAAATGCAACCACATAGATTTTTTACATAAGCACATGTATATTTTTGTAAATATGAGTTAACAGTAGTTCATAGATTGATTATTTTTGTACATTTTTTACATTCATAAAACTAGCCTTCATGTAAATTTTGTGACCCTTTTTGTGCATGTGATCTTCAGGGTTTTGGAGTGAACATAATATTCTCCGCCAAAGAATGAAGAAAAGTTGGAATGACTATCTTGATTCATTGCCAAAAGCAGAGGCAAATTGGGACAGAAATGCCAAAAGGCCACCACCAAAACCTGTGGAACCACCAAAGCTGAAACCTAAAAAGGCAAAACCTAAACCAAAGAAACCAGATATGGTGTTGGAAAATATTGAGTTTAAGACTCCACCTTTGACTCCACCTAAACCAAAAGTGGAGCAGGTCAAATTACAACCAGTGCAAAAACAAAATGATGACTTCTGGGAGTTCTATAACCAACCAGTTCCTCTCCCATAACATAAGGGACTGTGTTTGTGTGTATGTTTAGGCTGTATGTACAGTAAAACCTGTGTATATTGAACATTTTTTGCCAAAAAAACATGTTGGTTTCATTGATTATTGATATGAACATGACTAGAGTTGAGTACCATGACAAAAATACCATCATGTGACAGAACCAAAATGGACCATATATTACATGACAACTTTCATTCTAGGATATAATAAATAGACAAGCGACTTGCAGAATGCTAAATCAATGTGACAAACTAATTATGTTAAAACGAATATTGTAGCATTGATAGACATGATAATTATATATTGAAAATTATATTGAAAAAACTGTAAGAAATCCTCCAGTTATCATGATCTGTAATTCTGATTCAGAATCACCTCAAATATGTTTTTGTATATTGTATATTTATCTTTAATTGACTCTTTGATGTCTATCTTCAATGATATATTAACAATATACAACAATTAACTTAAACTAGACTAATCTATAGTACAAACTACAAAAATATAAAGTAAATACAGCATGACAATTGACAAAGTGTAAAATATGTAACTTGCATCTTCTGTAGTTATGAAGGCTTGAAAGATTGCTTATGTAGAAATTAATTTAATTGACTCTTAAAATTGAAAAAAGATGTCAAGCTGCTTTCAATGTGAGCAATTTTTCCAGCTTTGAAAATTTCTGAAAAAAGGTGTGTCTTGTTCTTAAAACGTTTACTACTTGTATAATTTTGTAAGCTAAATGGAATAAAATGGAATTAAAAATACAATCACATTTATTTTATTTATTTATTTATTCACATTTGCTGTATTGTGAGCAAGAATTATCACAACTCTTTAACACTGTTGAACTCTTCTAGAGACTCTTTGAATGGGAAAAAGTGGGAGAGGCCTCTTTGAATTTCTTTTCTTTGATATCACACTTTTGATAACACTGACTTTTAAAAATAAATTTTAGTTCATATAATCACATAATTGGAAACAATTCAAAGAATTATACCTAGTAATGACATTGTTAATGTAATTTTGGTGCACTGTGTTCTATACTTATTTGAAAAGATATAACACGTTACAAAACACACAAAAAGTTGAAGAATTGTCTCTTTCAAAGAGTAATACAATGTAGCAAAAACATATGTTGTGCAAAAAGGTTTGTCATTCAGTTTTGGAAATAATATAAGCCTTTTAATTCTTTACCATTGAATGCTTAGGTTTTCAAGCTTTTGGTAATAAACTCAGTTGTCGGCATCCAATTTTTGCTTGATTGTGTTTAACAGTTTTAACAATTGACCTCTTTCCCATATAATGGAAAATAGATGGCATCATGGGTTGGTAGGGCTAAAGTTGGGCTAGAATACATGTAAATGTATTGCCAGAGTCACTTAAATCAAGTGATCCTGATAGGAGTAAATGGACTTTTAAAGGTTTTTCAGCATTGTGTCAATGGGGATTTAGCCCCACCTTTTTTGGACAACTAGAAAATCATTAGAATTCGAATAAAGGCAAATAACAGTGCAAATCAAACTTGTTTTGATTGAAAATTACACGAATTCAAATATACCATCAAATAGAACAAAAGGACGATTCTCGGTTTGGAGAACAGTCTCCTGGGCTAATGATTTTTTTCATGAAAAATATAGAAATATTACCCAAATTAAACTATAAATATTCAAAAAAGGACATTTAAATCTACAAGATGAAAAAATAACAAATTGGTCTGAAGCAGGGATAACGCTCAATTAGACCGATTCAATTAAAATACAAGTCTGGATTTGGGGAAAGAAGTTCATCAGTGTACTGCGCTAATATTTTTTTGCGAAAAATCCAGAAATATTACCCAAATAAAATTATGATTATTCAAAAGAAGACATTCAAATCTATATTATGTAAAAAAATCAAATTTGTCCGAAGCAGGGATAATGCTCATTTGGATTGATGAACTTCGTTCTCCAAACCGAGAATCGTCCTTTTAGTCTTTAATGGTTAAAAATGCAGATCTCCCAAAATCTCATTAAAAAACCAGACTATAACAAGATTTCAAAGCTCTATGGAAAAAGGACCAACAAAGTTGAAAACGATGAACAAAATGATGTGAAAAATGCACCAATAGATACTAAGTATTTCAGTGAGTTCACTTATTGAAGAAAAAAAAGCAACTCCAAAATGTGTTTTGGAGTGAAAATCTGTTATTACAAGGAATCCAATAGAGAAGTGCCACGCTCACAAAAATTGACACTCTGGGTGGGGGTCTTTCTTTGAAAAACACTTGCATGGATACATTGATAATTAAGTTTGGCATACATTTACTGTTTAATCAGTGTATTCCTTTAGTCATGAAATACCTTGATGGATCAAGAAATGCGAAGGGGCAAAGTGGGAAGGGCCGAAATGGGAAGACACTGGATCAAGATGATGATTTAAACACAAAGCAACCAGAGACACGTATCTGAAGCAACTAAATAAACAACAGCATACTGAATGCTTCAGATTTTGTTATGTTATAGTTAAACATACCTAAACATAATTAGATTAAAATCTTTTGTATTTTTTTAATCTTTCTCAAATGTACTTTCTGTGATCCTAGTGGGCAACAATTTATCATCTTGACAAATTGATCCATGATCAATGTAATTCATATATGATGACTGAAGGCATACATTGCCATCAATAGAAACAAATAAATATTCATGACATTGATAGATGTCGTCCTATGCGATATAGCTTCACATTTGTTTCACAGGCTCATTTGCATATTAATAAAGTCAGGGAGAAAGTCACGTGGTGTACCTTCACATTAAGTTTCCCAGTTCGTAGAAACAAGCAAGGTTCGTCTCACGAAAACATTCCAGTTTGTTGACGTTTTAGGCAAGTTATCAGCTTTAGGTGTAGTGCGATAAGAAGAAGTTACACCGAAAGATGAAATGTACAACGGTTATATTTATTATACTTGCTGGATTGCTGAACACTTTGGTGTTATGCGAAGACACGATATGGGAAAATGGGAACGACGGCGGCCATGATGGATCTTCCCATATCGTTGATAATTTTCACAATTTGTTGTCTTATTTGGATGTTTCTGCCAACAAGGAATCATTGGGCCGGGATGAAGTACAGACAATTATTGGAGGATTGTTTGAACGATTCCATTGTAATGAAACTTTATCTACGAACGAGTGCTCTGAGGTAAGAAGTAAATTGCATATTTAAAGTTAAAAAAAATCAAAAAAATCATCAAATCTTTCAGTCTCAGCTGAATTGAATAAAATTGTGTTTTACGCAAGAATCAAGAGGCCTAAACGTAAAGAATATCGATATTTTCCAAAAATAATAGGCCCGCACATCTACATAATGATGATTACCTGGTTGGTTGTACATGTATATCTTTTAGGTGCTCTTTATCCCAACGAACTAAGTTCGGTAGGGATATTGTGAAGCCCTCCATCCATCCGTGCGTGCGTCCGTCCGGAAGATAACTCAAATACTAGTGGACAGATTTTCTTCATATTTGATGGAAAGATGTATATTGGTGAATATATTCACAACATCTAGATCTATATCTATTTTATAATTATTCCAAGTTATTCACCATGACCCCCATGCAGGGGGAATGTATGGGGGTCAGGAAAATGGTAATTTGCGTTAATTTTGAGATCTTTCTCAAGTATAGCTTTATTATACTCAAATGATAGGCAATTTAGAGTAGATTGCAAATATTATATCTGATTTAAAATTTTAAATGGCCGCCGCCTTATGTGGAATTTTGCAATAATTTTCCAATCTCTTCAAAGTATGGCTATATTATTCTCAAATTGAAGGAAATTTAGGGCAGATCACTATTTTGGTATTGTTTTCCTGATTTGTGGCTCAAAAAATTCAAATTATCTTTATTTGTCCATTATTAGTGAATTTGAAAGAACATCAGCGCAACATCAACGATCCACTTGATATTGATGAAAGCGAAACCATAAATCAGTAGGACGGCACATTGAAAAAACCCATTGTTGTTTACCAAACTTTATATCAAAGTAGTGTAGCGATATATGACGTCATCGCACTACTTGTTTCTGGTCCGTTGGCTACCATCTTTATGAGATACATTGAAATGGTAAACATTTAAACATTTGAAAATGAAAGTGACGGATAGAATTCTACTGATCTCTTCTTTCGAACTATCTCATTTTAATGTTAGGAAAATGCACATGAATGGGAGTAAAATGCAATCAAACACGTGAGACTTTCACTCATTTTGTACCCTATATTCGTGCGAAATTAACATTGATTAAACATCGTTTTTTTAAATGTCTGAATCACTTAAAAGTTAAAGTAAATACGATATTTTATAAGCACCAAATATCAATCAGTTCCGATAAAATGCCTTCATTTGTTACATTTTCTGCGAAAACGGTTGGGCATAATTTCGGTAGAAATGTGTATTTTACGACGTTATATGCATGGTTGAATCCAAAAAGTAGCGTCATTCAGAAAATTATCATGTGTGCGTAAAAGCTTGTGAATATTTCATTTTGAGTAACTGAATTATCAAATTGACATATATATTGTCTTTGGAACATCACCTTTACACAGAATTATTTTCATAATGATTGCTCGTTTTGTTCCATGATCAAATGCAATTTTAGACCTGCAGCTGACTCGTATCAAAAATTATTTAGCAATGAGTTCAGGCTCACTGATTTTTAAGATAGATGAAATGAACAAATAGGGAAAGGGTTATGTGTGCGGTAAAGCATGTGGATATTAAACTTTCAATAAATGAATTACAATTTTGATGTTTATATGATCTGAAGAACATCACCTTTACACATAATTAGACTCCAGATGAAATCTGGAGTCTATTGTTTTTGCCTGTTTTCTTATTAGACTCCAGATGAAAATCTGGAGTCTATTGCTTTTGCCAGTTTTCTTATTATTATTATTATTTTTTTTCTTATTCTTCCTCCTTACAAGATTTCTCACCAACTAGAAGAACTTACTTTAAGCTGCTTACATGATCAACTAGGGAATGTATCTGGGATTATGGGAAATTAGGTCAAATTTTTATCTAGGTCAAAGGTCAAGAACTAGGTCAAATCCAGCACTTTGTCACTTTTTCCCATTATCTCGGTCGTCCTTCAATATTTTTGATCTGGGTTTTTTTCATTGTGTTCCTCATAAAAAAGTAGAAAAGCTAGGGTCGATTTAGTTTTTTGGTATCTCAAACCGATTTCGAGATATCAGTGTCCGAAAACGAGGTCCAAAAAAAAGTTCTCCGAATCCAATGTCAAGGATATCAGTCTTATAGGAAATTTTCTCAGGATTCCGAATCTGAAAACCAAATTTCGATCTGACTTCCGGTTCAGAAGTTATTGCGTTTTGAAAATTCAAAAATCGCTAAATTTGGTGCCCCATGTTAATTCAATGGGAAAAAATATTTTTTTGAAGTGTAAAATACGAGATATAGACTAAGCACAGCTAAACATAATGGAAGCCCATAAAAGAAAGGGACCTCAAGACCTTCTTTTCATAAAATTTTGGACACCAAAATGCCTAGGTCAAAATCTAGGTCAAATTCAAAGTTTTTCCTTATTTTTGCGATTCTGACACTACAGATTAATTATATTCTTCGAAATTTTGTATACATATAGCCAAGAGTGTGCTCATAGTGGTAGCCTTTTGCCGTCAGAAAGTATTTTGACCCACTTTTGAGATATGGTGTCCGAAAAGTAGGTCAAAATAAAAATTTCTCCAAACTCAACGTATGAGTTATGAATTAAGGATAGAATTTTCTCAGGAATCCGAATCTGCAAACCAAATTTCGATCCGACTTCCCGTTCGGAAGTTATGGCGTTTTGAAATTTCGAGAAAAATCGATCTGATGGTATCCTGATAGAAAGTCAAGGAAAAAAGATTTTTTTTGAAGTGTAAAATACGAGATATAGACTGAGTACAGCTTAAGATAATGAATTCCTATAAAAGAAGGGGACCTCAAAAGCTACCTAGTTTCAATATTTGGACACCAAAATGCCTAGGTCAAAATCTAGGTCAAATTCATAGTTTTTCCTTATTTTTACGATTCTGGCACTACACTTTTAGGATTTGCTTCAAAATTTTGTATACAGGCAGAAAAGAGTGTGCTTATAGTGATAGCCTTTTGCCGTCAGAAAGTATTTTGACCCATTTTTGAGATATGGCGTCCTAAAAGTGGGTCAAAATAAAAAAATCTCCAAATTTAATGTATGAGTTATGAAATAAGGGTAGAATCTTCCCAGGAATCTGAATCTGCAAACCAAATTTCAATCCGACTTTCGGTCAAAAATTCCTACTTACCTACCTACCTACACACCTACTCGGCTACCTACTTAGCTATCTACTTCTCGGCTACCTACTCAGCTACTTACTCAGCTACCTACTCAGCTACTTACTCAGCTTCCTTCTCAGCTACCTACACAGCTACTCACTCAATTACTTAATCATCTACTTACTCAGCTTGCCACTCAGTTACTTACTCAGCTACCTACTCAAGTAAATCAATCTGGAGTCTTAAATTGAACTTTGTTCAATTTACAAATCTAGTTATTCCTCTTTTTCTTTCTTTCTTCTTCCTCCTAACACATTTTCTCTCCAACTATAACATCTTACTTAAACCAACTTACATGGTTAACTAAGGAATGATTCTGGCTTTCTGGGAAATTAGGTCAAATTTTTATCTAGGTCAAAGGTCAAGAACTAGGTCAAATCTTACATTTTCAACATTCTTCATCATATCTTCGTCAATATTCATCGTAACTCCTTCATCTTTTTTTCATCATGTAGCTTAGAAAAAGGCGAATCAAAGATATGACATCAGAATTTTGATTACTCTTATCGATTTTGAGATATGGCGTCCGAAAAGTAGGTCAGAACAAAAAATTCTCCAAATTCAACATGTGATTTATGAAATAAGTGTAGAATGATCTCAGGAATCCGAATCTGCAAACCAAATTTAGATCAGACTTCCGGTTCGGAAGTTATGGCGTTTTGAAAGCTCAAAAATCGCTAAATTTGGTGCCTATGTTAAGTCAATGGGAAAAATGACTTTTTCCAAGTGTAAAATACCAGATATAAACTGAGTACAGCTTAACATTCTGAAAGCCTATAAAAGAAGGGGACGTCGGAGGCTATCTAGATTTAAAATTTGGACACCAAAATGCCTAGGTCAAAATCTAGGTCATATTCATAGTTTTTCCTTATTTTTGTGATTCTGACATTACACTTTAATGATTTGCTTCAAAATTTTGTATACAGGTAGCAAAGAGTGTGTTAATAGTGTTAGCCTTTTGCCGTCAGAAAGTATTTTGACCCACTTTTGAGATATGGTGTCCGAAATGTAGGTCAAAATAAAAAATTCTCCAAATTTAACGTATGAGTTATGAATTAAGGGTAGAAGTTTCTCAGGAATCAGAATCTTTAAACCAAATTTCGATCCAACTTCTGATTAGATAGTTATAGCGGTTTTAAGTCTCGAAAAGTCAATATGATGATATCCCCATGTTAAGCCAATGGAGTCGAAGATAACATTCTTAAGAGTTGTCTAAATGTCTATATTCTAGCTGACTCAGCTTATTCTAAATGACTCAGCTTACAAGTATTTGGATGACTCAGCTTAAAAAAAGTCTGAAATCTGGAGTCTTAAATTGAACTTGTTCAATTTATATGTCTAGTTATTTTTATAATAGGCCTAATTGTTCGATTTCTTTCATGATCAACTGCAATTTTAGACCCGATATGTATTAAAGAAGTATCGGACAATGTATTAAGGCTCACTGATTTTTAGGATGAATAAAATGAGCAAAAGGAGAAAAGGTCACGTGTGCGTAAAAGCGTGTCAGTATTTGGATTTGAAGAAATGAATTAAAGTTTTGACATTAATATTATTTGTGAAGCATCACCTTAACATAGAATTATTTTTATAATTATTGCTTGGTTCCTTCCATGAGAAAATGCAATTATAGACCTGGCAAGCGTATCAAAGAAGTATTTGGCAATTGCGTCCAGTCTCTTTGGTTTTCAAGGTAAATGAAATAAGCAAAACTGGAAAAGGTCATGTGTGCGTAAATGCGTGTCATTATTTAATTTTGAAGAAATTAATTACTTTTTTGACATTAATATTATTTGTGAAGCATCACCTCTACGCAGAATTATTTTTA